AGTACTCAGATTGTGAATGTTGTGGATTCACTCTCCAACACACCGGTGGGCTGAAGAAGTCAACTAAGTGGCGTTTTGTGCACGTGACAAATCCCTTACTGAATGGCTGTGTCGGGTGGTGGAGGGTTTCGACACATTTATACTTACGTGATCTAACCAAAACACCTTAATTATGAATGATATTAATCAGGAAAGACTGCTACGTGTTAAACAAACACCACCACCACAAACGGACACCACCACCACCACGGGCCATGTGCACCTCATACTAAACAACAGACAAAGGTCCCCGTATAGCCTGTAACCTGTTGGTGGTGATGGGGGGAAGTGCTGTTCGTGCCAGGGGTCAGCAACCGTCGGAGTCCAGTTTATCATGGGAGTCCAGTTTACCATGGGAGTCCAGTTTAACATAGGAGTCCAGTTTACCATGAGAGTCCAGTTCACCATGGGCAGAAGTCTGCAACCTGCGGCTCTTTAAGGGGCTGTTTTTTTTACTACCAAATTCGACCACAAAAAGTATCTTCTTGTTGTCGCCACTAAGTGGCGGTGACATCACCACGACGCTTGTGCCAGGCCATGTGCACCTTGAGGCCACGTGAAGTGTCGAACGCCCGCTGGCAGGAGGCCACGGGGCAGACCCAGATGCCACGGGTCGACTGACTGAGATGACCGAGATGACTGGCTGATGCACCACTTGTGCCCCCTACTGTGCCAACTTGCTGTGCTTTAGCCACCCGGCGCTCCGCTCGTTGTTGTGAGCGTCCCTCCTCCGCCCTCCGTTGTTGTTGGAGGGCGACTGCCTCCAACTGCCCAGTAGCAGCGTCCTTCACGAGCCTCCTCCACAGAGGCCGATCTTGACACCGCTGGTACCAGTCATCGGCAAGTCCACTCAGCTCCACGTCCTCCTGTACCACATCACTCCATATCTTCTCTAGCCCGTGCCGCGCCCGTTTAGCCCCCTCGATCCGGCCGAACAAAAGCTGTTTAGGCATGCGGTGGCTGGGCATGCGGGCTACATGACCCAGCCAACGCAGCCTTGCCTGCCGGAGGAGCTCACCGATGGGACTTTGCCCAGATCTTTCAAGGATTTGTGAGCTCCTCACACAATCCAGCCTGGTTAAACCCAGGATGGATCGTAAGCAGGCCAGCCTAAATGTTTCTAATCGGCGAAGTTGCTCAATTAGGGCGGTCCACGCTTCGCTAGCGTAGAGAAGTAATTAGATATTTTTCACACTCACAGACACACACACTCACAGACACACAATCACAGCCACATACACTCACAGACACACACACTTACAGACATACAGACACACACACTCACAGACACACACACTCACAGACACACACACACACTCACAGACACACACACACACAGACACACACAGACACACTCACAAACACACAGACACACACTTACAGACACACACACGCACACACGCACAGACACACACACACTCACAGACACACGCATACACACACAGACACACACACACTCACAGTCACACACACGCACAGACACACACACACTCACAGACACACGCACAGACACACACTCACAGACACACATACAGACACACACTCACAGACACACGCACACACACACACAGACACACACAGACACACACACACAGTCACACACACACAGTCACACATACTCACAGACACACATAGACACACACAAACACACACACACGCACAGACACACGCACACGCACAGACACACACACTCACAGACACACACACGCACACAGACACACACACGCACACAGACACACACACTCACAGACACACACACACACAGACACACTCACACACTCACAGACACACACAGACACACACAAACACACACACACGCACAGACACACTCACAGACACACGTACGCACTCACACTCGCACAGACACACACACACTCACACATAGACACACATACGCACAGACACACACACACACACGCTCACCTTCCTGTAAACACAATCAGTGAGCACACAAGGCGCTTCCGTCGGATCGCGTTCCCTCCGCAGCAGGTGGGGCACGTGACGCACCAGTCGCCCTCTGTGGGAGCGACTGCAGTGCCCCAGCAAGTTCCTATCGGAGAGCAAACTCCGGGCCGGTTTGTGGCATTCACCGCCTCGTCAGCAGTGCAGGGTTCGCTTTCACCGGTCAGTGCTCATGAGCTGCAACATGTTCGAAAGCGCTGCGCTACGAACCCGGCAAGCCGTCCTGTGCCTCCCCTAGGTCGACTCAGCCTCAAATGAGTACCTGGTGCGGTGTGTAAACATCGCCACGTAGGGAGACAAAGGCGGACGGGCGTGGTGCTGGCTACCCACCCCCTCGTGTGCCGTGCCGGCCTTCATAGGTACTACTCGCTAACAGCACTTGCCCCCACAGTCTGTTAAGGCTACCCGGGGGATCTTTGTCTTGTTTTGTGTGTATCGGTTGGTGTACTTCTTTCGCACCGTACGTAGCTACGAGTCGCTGTGGGTTCTAGTTGAGTGGGGAGGATGGGTAATCATGTATGAATAGCCTCAACTTTATAAACTTTATAATTATGCAAGAATAACCTCAACTTTATAAAGCGTCTTTCATCTTGAAGTATCGCACAGCGCGGAGGACGGTCTTGTTGCAATACTATTGTTTACACATGGGGGGGGGGGGGGGGAGAGAGACGCGTGGGGGAGTAGGAGGAGGAGGAGGAGTTGGTGCCAGAACGATGCAACTTCGTTCCCGAGGCAGAATTACGCGTTCAATTACGAGGAAGGGTCAATTTTTATTATTTTTATTACATTCCACGCTTTTTATTAAACTCACTCTGTCTGTTGTTGTCGTTGTTGTCGTATCCTCAAATCTTGTAACTCAATTTTTATAAATGTTTTCTCCTACAACGTCAGAGTGGTGCAGCGCCACATTAAATACGCACTACAATGACAATAGTGTAAAGCGATTTGAAGCATGCTTTATTTTTTGGGGGGTAGGGGGGGGCAGAGCTTTGTGACGTCATATTTGAGGGGGGGGGGGTCTGACTTTTTGTGACGCCCTGTGACAAGGGGGGGGGGTCAAAAATCGTCTAAAATCGCGTGAAGTCATTTATGGACAGCCTCTTTAAAAAAGAAAGTGGTGGGTGCGTGCCGCTCGGCTGAGCCCGTCACTGAGGTGTCCCCCGCATGACCGCCCGCCGCAAACAACATTGGCCTCGTGAGAGGGCATCGGGATTTACGACTCAGCCATGACCGTGAAATTCCACAGCGGCCCTCTGCGCGAGACGATCAATAACAATCGTGGCCGCCACGATGTCACGTGAGAGGTCGAACGGCCTCTCCCGTTCACCACCACCACTCCCGTTCACCACCACCACCACTCACGTTCACCACCACCACTCCCGTTCACCACCACCACTCCCGTTCACCACCACCACCACTCACGTTCACCACCACCACTCTCGTTCACCACCACTCCCGTTCACCACCACCACCACTCCCGTTCACCACCACTCCTGTTCACCACCACCACCACTCCCGCTCACCACCACCACTCCCGTTCACCACCACCACTCCCGTTCACCACCCACGACTCCCGTTCACCACCCACGACTCCCGCTCACCACCACCACTCCCGTTCACCACCACCACTCCCGTTCACCACCACCACTCCCGTTCACCACCCACGACTCCCGCTCACCACCACCACTCCCGCTCACCACCACCACTCCCGTTCACCACCACCACTCCCATTCACCACGACGTGGCATTGGCGGCTCTTTAAATATTGGGGGGGGGGGGTGTTTACCGATTTCGGGAAAAAATGTCTCTTCTTGTTATTTTGGCTGCTGACCCCTGACCACGGGAGTCCAGTTCACCATGGGAATCCAGTTTACCATGAGAGTCCAGTTCACCATGGGAGTCAAGTTTACCACGGTAGTCCAGTTTACCATGGGAGTCAAGTTTACCATGGACAGAAGTCGCAAACCTGCGGCTGAGGACCACCACCACCACCACGACCACCACCACCACGACCACCACCAACACCACGACCACCACCAACACCACGACCATCACCACGACCATCACCACCACCACAACCACCACCACGACCATCACCACCACCACAACCACCACCACGACCATCACCACGACCACCACCACCACCACGACCATCACGACCACCACCACCACGACCACCACCACCACGACCACCACCACCACCACCACGACCATCACCACGACCACCACGACCACCATCACGACCACCATCACGACCACCACTACTACGACCACCACCACCACCATCACGACCACCACCACGACCACCACCACCACGACAACCACCACAACCACGACCACCACCACAACCACGACCACCACCATCACGACCACCACGACCACCACCACCACGACCACCACCACGACCACCAACACCACCACGACCACCACCACCACCACCACGACCATCACCACGACCACCACGACCACCATCACGACCACCATCACGACCACCACTACTACGACCACCACCACCACCACGACCACCACGACCACCACCACGACCACCAACACCACCACGACCATCACCACGACCACCATCACGACCACCACCACCAACACCACCACCACCACGACCAACACCACCACCACGACCACGACCACCACCACCAACAACACCACCACGACCACCACCACCAACACCACCACCACCACGACCACCACCACCACGACTATATAGTATAGGAGTGTAGAATGTAGTGTATTGTATAGTAGTGTCGTATGTAGTGTATAGTAGTATGCATGTTGAACTTCTTTCGCACCGCACGGAGCCAACCGTGCTAATCGGATGTGCGTTGGGTGCGACCTGCAGATTAAATGCCGCATTCTGCAGCTGTAAATCAACCATCGCGACTACCACCGCCGTGGTGCGTGCGATGTTGTTGTTGTTGTCGATGTTGTTGTTGATGTTGTCGATGTTGTTGTTGCATTGAGGCCAAGGCCGTTGAATGTCCCCACAGGAAGCGGCGGGCTCCCTTCAAGACGCGCAGCTCCCACGCAGGTACAGCACGCGAGACGGCGAGAGTGAGCGGGAGCCACGTGTGACATTTGTGCACCACGGATCCCGGCTGCCCGAGTTTGATTCCCCGCTCACGGCCTCCCGTCACTTTTATCTCGTCCCACTTACCCACCCACCCGTTCACCCACTCACCCACTCACTCACTCACCCACCCACTCACCCACTCACTCACTCACTCACCCACTCACCTGCTCACTCGCTCACTCACCCACTCACTCACTCGTCCACTCACCTGCTCACTCACCCACTCATTCACTCACTCACTCACTCACCCACTCACTCACCCACTCGCCCACTCACTCACCTGCTCACCCACTCACTTGCTCACTCACTCACCCACTCATTCACTCACCCACTCACTCACCCACTCACTCACCCACCCACTCACCCGCTCACTCACTCACCCGCTCACTCGCTCACTCACTCACTCACCCACCCACCCACCCACTCACCCACTCACTCATTTGCTCACTCACCCGCTCACTTATCCACTTACCAACTCACCCCCCCCCCCCCCCCCCGTCGACTCTGGGGAGACACAGGTGGCCGGCATGTGGCCTTCATAGGTGCCCGATAACAGCACTTGCCCCAACAGCTGCTCCAGGCTATACGGGGGAACTTTGTCTTTGTGCGAGCAGCCCCGGAGGAGGCTCTGGTCTCGGGGCGTCTGGCATCCCCAGCGGACAGGTCGCCGCTGCTGCTGCCGCCGCCTGGGGGGGCCCTCGTGGCACGGGGCAAACTCGGCAAGCCTCCCAGAGGTGCGTGTGTCAGTGCGTGTGTCAGTGCGTGTGTCAGTGCGTGTGTGTGTCAGTGCGTGTGTCAGTTCGTGTGTCAGTGCGTGTGTGTGTGTCAGTGCGTGTGTCAGTGTGTCAGTGCGTGTGTCAGTGTGTGTGTCAGTGTGTGTGTCAGTGTGTGTGTGTGTCAGTGTGTGTCAGTGTGTGTGTGTCGTGGACAGTACTGTGGGGAGAAGGCCAATGCCCATTGGCCTCTCCCCTCATGGCGTCTGTGACCACCACAGTGGCTAAACGGGGGCTCTGGACGGATGCGAGGGGCTGGTAACCCCTCCACCTTCAATTTATTACCACGAAGACTACGAATTAAACATAAATATGTAACAAATAAGCTTGTGCCAGAGGCCCCGGGGGGACAGGCGTCTATGACGTCTCCTGGCCAAACCCCAATTGGCGGAGCCAGGAGATTAAATCTTCACCCTCGGGGCTCCTCCAGAAACAACGAAAAACCACTACGGATGGCCACGTGGAATGTTCGAACGCTCACTGCGGAGGAGAGGCTGCCACTCCTTTGTCGGGAGCTGGACCGGTAGCGCCTGGATCTCTGTGGCATTCAGGAGGTCTGGTGGACCGGTTCTGGCTCCTGCCACCATGAGGGGTGGACAGTCCTCTACTCGGGGCAGGAGACTGCCAAACAACAGGGTGTGGCTCTTATTTTGAACAAAATAATGAAGGGGGCGTGGGAGATGTGGGAAGCTGTAAGCCCCAGGATACTTTGGGCTCGCCTTCCCATCAACCGGAGGCGAGGAGTGGTGGTCGTGGTTACTTATGCCTCCACCGAAGACGAACATCCGTGGAGGGATGCAGGCAAAGCCGATGAGTCAGATGCCTTCTATGACCTCCTGTCACAGGTGCTGGCTAAAGTGGCCACTCGGGACAGAGTCATCTTGTTGGGTGACTTCAATGCCTGGAGTGATTGGAAGGCATGGGCCAGATCAGCTCAATAACAACAGTAGGAGGCTGCTAGAATTTAGTGCAGCCCATGGGCTTGTAATTACCAACACGCTCTTCCGGCATCGGCGCAACCACACAACATCATGGATGCATGCCGGGTCCAAACAAGAACATCTGCTGGACTACATAGTGATGGACCAGCGGATGCGAGCCCATGTCCTTGACACCAGGACCTACCGTGGAGCTGATATGCCCTCTGACCATCGACTAGTCATCTGTAAGATGCGCCTGCCATTCTTCCACTCCGGTGGTGGGTGTACACCCAGGACCCCATTCCAACCAAAAGTGGCCTGGTCTCAGCTAGCTGATGAAAGTTGCAAGCGAGAATTTCATCATCGCTTGCAGCTGTGGTTGGCATCGTCCCCCACTCCTCCTGATGTCGAGGGTAAATGGGCGAGGTTTAGGACTGTGACTCATGCAGCTGCAATGGCTGCTTTGGGTATGTGGTCCAGACCTCCCCAGAGACCCTGGCTGACAGAGGAGGTGTTCAGGTTAGTTGAGAAAAAACGACAGGCCCACTCTCATCGGCTACAGCATCCCACGTCAGAGAATGAGCAGGTTTACCGCAGCCTTCGCTCGGAGGTTTGGAGAGCCGTAAGGCGCTGCAAGGATGGGTGGTGGTTGCGGGTTTCTGAGGATGTGGAGTGTGCCTCAGTGGCCCGCGATCACAAATCACTATTTAAGTCCATCAAAAAAGTAACCTGCAGCGCCACACCTATTACCATCAATAGGGGAAAAAACGGTGATCCAATCTCCGACGCCCAGGAACAGGTTTGTAGATTTGCTGAGCATTTCTGTGAGGTCCTGGGGGAGGGGAAATCCCTCAGCCAGGAAAGCATCATGGCACAAAGTGGGGATAACCCTGCTGAGGCTGCGGTGCCTCAAATATTGGAAGAGGTCACCCCCTGTGAGTGGCTGGCTGAGGTGCCATCTGTTGAGGAAGTACTGAAGGCGATCTGGAGTCTGAGACTAGGAAAGGCACCGGGCAGAGATGATCTCCCAAGCGAAATGCTCAGGGAGGGTGGCGTTTGTGCACAGACTGCCCTACATGACATCATAACAGTCTGGACCACTGGACAGGTTCCGCAGGATTGGAAGGATGCCCTGGTGGTCCCCCTCTTTAAGAAGGGGGACCGCACAGACTGTAACAACTACAGGGGCATCTCACTCCTCAGTGTGTCGGGAAAGGTCCTGGCAAGGATTATTCAACATCGCCTTGCTAGGCACGCTGAGGAGATGCTTGCGGAGCCCCAATGCGGTTTCAGGAAAGGGCGGTCCTGCACGAATGCCATATTTTCTGTCCGTCTGCTACAGCAGAGGTGTAGGAAATTCCAACAAGACCTACATCTCTGCTTTATTGACCTGATCAAGGCCTATGATACCATCAATAGGCCTGGGCTCTGGGTTGTTCTTCGTGCTTTCGGAGTCCCTGACCCTCTGCTTACGATCATTAAGGACCTTCATGATGGTGAGCGGGCCTGGGTAAAACTACATGGCCGGGAGTCAGAGCCTTTCCCTGTATGCCTTGGGGTGCGACAGGGATGTCCTCTGGCTCCCACATTATTTAACATCTATTTCGACTGCGTAGTTCGTGAAGCCTTCAATAGCTGTACCGGGGGAATTTCCATTTGGTACAGATATAATGGGAGGCTGATCGATGGCTCTCTATTGGTCAACCACGTTATGTATGCCGATGATTTGGTAATAGCTGCTCAGTCAGAGGAAGAGTTGGAGACGCTGCTGCTGAGACTGGAGCGTGCCACTAAAAGGTGGGGCCTTACATTCAGCCCCACCAAAACTCAGCACCTGCCTGGGTATTTTGTACCATTGGACACTCCACCCCCACAACTCCCAATCGGTGATGGGGCAGTAGTGGAGAGAGTGGAGAGTTTCCCATACCTGGGCAGTGTGCTTATGACCGGCTCCAGTTTAACAGCAGAGGTCTCACTCCGAATCAGTCGAGTAGCAATATCTTTTCATCGGTTGCATAACGCTGTGTGGAAGCTACCTGGTCTGTCGCTCCGCACGAAGCTTCAGGTCTTCTCGGCCACAGTCATTCCCTCCCTTCTCTACGCTTGCGAAACGTGGATCCCCCTAATGGAGCATCTTCGCCGGTTGGAAACATTTAGGCTGGCCTGCCTACGATCCATCCTGGGTTTAACCAGGCTAGATTGTGTGAGTAGCTCACAAATCCTTGAAAGATCTGGGCAAAGTCCCATCGGTGAGCTTCTCCGGCATGCAAGGCTGCGGTGGCTGCGTCATGTAGCCCGCATGCCCAGCCATCGCATGCCTAAACAGCTTTTGTTCGGCCGGATCGAAGGGGCTAAACGGGCGCGGCACGGGCTAGAGAAGAGATGGAGTGATGTGGTACAGGAGGACGTGGAGCTGAGTGGACTTGCCGATGACTGGTACCAGCGGTGTGAAGATCGGCCTCAGTGGAGGAGGCTCGTGAAGGATGCTACTGGGCAGTTGGAGGCAGTCGCCCTCCAACAACAACGGAGGGCGGAGGAGCAACGCTCACAACAACGAGCAGAGCGCCTGGTGGCTAAAGCACAGCAAGTTCATACATTAGGGGGCACAGGTGGTGCATCAGCCAGTCATCTCGGTCATCTCAGTCAGTCGACTCGTGGCACCTGGGTCTGCCCCGTGACCTCCTGCTAGCGGGCGTTCGACACTTCACGTGGCCTCAAGCTGCACATGGCCTGGCACAAGTGTCGTGGTGACGTCACCGCCACTTAGTGGCGAATGGCGGTTGTTGTTGTTGTGTCAGTGTGTGTGTCAGTATGTGTGTCAGTGTGTCAGTGTGTGTGTCAGCACGTGTGTCAGTACGTGTGTCAGCATGTGTGTCAATGCGTGTGTCCGTGCGTGTGTCAGTGTGTGTGTCAATGCGTGTGTCAGTGTGTGTGTCAGTGTGTGTGTCAGTGTGTCAGTGTGTGTGTCAGTGTGTGTGTCAGCACGTGTGTCAGTACGTGTGTCAGCACGTGTGTCAATGCGTGTGTCCGTGCGTGTGTCTGTGCGTGCACGTGCGCGTATGGGGTAGCGGTAAACATCGCCACGAAGGGAGACAAAGGCGGCCGGGCGTGTTGTTGGGCCACCCACCCACCCCCTCGTGCCGTGCCGGCTTTCGTAGGTGCAACTCGCTCTCAGCACTTGCCCCAACAATATGTTAAGCCTATACGGGGGATCTTTGTCTTGTGTGTGTGTGTCTAGGGGTGCCAGTGCCCAGCGATGGGGAGCTGCTGTCGGTGATGAGCGCGCGCCTCGCTCAGCTGGAGCAGCGAGTGAAGCTCTACGCTAACGAGGTTCACGACAAGGTGAAGCACGCACAGACACACCTCTCTGTGTGCGCGTGCCTCTCTCTCTCTCAGTGAGTGCTGCTCGCTGACAACACTGCCCCAACAGTCTGCTGAGTCTATACGGGGGGTCTTTGTCTTTGGTGCCGAGCACTTGCCCCAACAGTCTGCCCAGGCTATACGGGGGATCTTTGTCTTTGGTGCTGAGCACTTGCCCCAACAGTCTGTTGAGGCTATACGGGGGGTCTTTGTCTTTGGTGCTGAGCACTTGCCCCAACAGTCTGCTGAGGCTATACGGGGGATCTTTGTTTTTGGTGCCTAGCACTTGCCCCAACAGTCTGCTGAGGCTATACGGGGGGTCTTTGTCTTTGGTGCTCAACACTTGCCCCAACAGTCTGTTGAGGCTATGCTGGGGGTCTTTGTCTTTGGTGCCGAGCACTTGCCCCAACAATCTATCCAGGCTATACGGGGGATCTTTGTCTTTGGTGCTCAACACTTGCCCCAACAGTCTGCTGAGGCTATACGGGGGGTCTTTGTCTTTGGTGCCTAGCACTTGCCCCAACAGTCTGCTGAGGCTATACGGGGGATCTCTGTCTTTGGCGAAGGCACGCCTTCCGCCTCCCCACCGCTGATATCTACTCACCCAGGTGTGCATCGAAGGCTAAGCGGACCTAGGGGAGGCCCAGAACCGGTTCAGTATATTCGTCACCGATGTTAGCCGTGAGTGGGAATCGAAGCCGGGTCGCCAGGTTCATAGCTGAGCGCGCTGACCACTAACACAACCGCTCCCCGCTGCTGGGGCAAGTGCTGTTAGCGAGCAGCACCTATGAAGGCCGGAACGGCACACGAGGGGGTGGGTGGACAGCACCACGCCCAGCCGCCTTTGTCTCCCCCAGTGGCGAAGTTTACACAGCGCACCAGGATCTCATTTAAGGCTGAGTCGACCTAGGGGGAGGCCCATGACCGGTTCAGATAATCGTCACCGGCGTCGGCCGTGAGCGACAATCGAACTCGGGTCGTCGGGTTCGAAGCGTGGCCGCCGCTCCCCACCAGCACAGCAGGCACGCGCACGCGCCACCGCGGTATTAACCAGGGCCGCCCACTGGAGTCGGAGCCGCGCACCTCTGCAACACCAAAGCGGCGAACGTCGCTGCTGCTGCTGCTGCATCCACGGTGCCGTGTGACTCACGGCATCGTGCCGCGCTCTGCCCCGCAGGACCAGAAGCTGAGGAGCGCGCAGGAGAAGATGAGGTCCCTGGAGATGAGTGAGTTGTTGAACTTCTTTTTGGAAACTCGTTTTCTTTATCACTGCCTTGTTGCGTTTCGTTTGTTGTCCTTCCCACCCCGCACCTCCGATTAGCACGGTTGGCTATGTACGATGATAAAGAAGTTCAACGTACACACACACTACACTATACACTACACTACTATACAGTACACTACTATACAACAACAACAACCGCCATTCGCCACTAAGTGGCTGTGATGTCACCACGACGTTTGTGCCAGGCTATGTGCACCTTGAGGCCATGTGAAGTGTTGAACGCCCGCTGGCAGGAGGTCACGGAGCAGACCCAGATGCCATGAGTCGACTGACTGAGATGACCGAGATGACCGAGATGACTGGCTGATGCACCACCTGTGCCCCCTACTGTGCCAACTTGCTGTGCTTTAGCCACCCGGTGCTCCGCTTGTTGTTGTGAGCGTCGCTCCTCCGCCCTCCATTGTTGTTGGAGGGCGACTGCCTCCAACTGCCCAGTAGCATCCTTCATAAGCCTCCTCCACTGAGGCCGATCTTGACACCGCTGGTACCAGTCATCGGCAAGTCCACTCAGCTCCACGTCCTCCTGTACCACATCACTCCATCTCTTCTCTAGCTCGTGCCGCGCCCGTTTAATCCCCTCTATCCGGCCGAACAAAAGCTGGCTTGCCTGCTGGAGGAGCTCACCGATGGGACTTTGCCCAGATCTTTCAAGGATTTGTGAGCTCCTCACACAATCCAGCCTGGTTAAACCCAGGATGGATCGTAGGCAGGCCAGCCTAAATGTTTCTAACCGGCGAAGATGTTCCATTAGGGGGGGTACATGTTTCGCATGCGTAGAGAAGGGAGGAAATGACCGTGGCCGAGACGGCCTGAAGTTTCGGGCGGAGTGATAGACCAGATAGCTTCCACACAGCGTTACGCAACCGATGAAAATATATTGCCGCTCGACTGATTCGGAGTGAGATCTCTGCTGTCAAACCGGAGTCAGTCATGAGCACACTGCCCAGGTATGGGAAACTATCCACTCTCTCCACAACTGCCCCATCACCGATTGGGAGTTGTGGGTGTGGAGTGTCCGATGGTACAAAATACCCAGGCCGGTGCTTAGTTTTGGTGGGGCTGATGGTAAGGCCCACCTCTTAGTGGCACGCTCCAGTTTCAGCAGCAGCATCTCCAACTCCTCCTCTGAATGAGCAGCAATTACCAAATAATCGGCATACATAATGTGGTTGACCAATAGGGAGCCATCTCTTGACCGCACCCAGGCATCGATCAGCCTCCCATTATATCTGTACCAAATGGAAATTGGTACAGCTATTAAAGACTTCACGAACTACGTGGTCAAAATAGAAGTTAAATAACGTGGAAGCCAGAGGACATCCCTGTCGCACCCCAAAGTGTACAGGGAATGGCTCTGACTCCTGGCCATGTGGTTTTACCCGGGCCCACTCACCATCATGAAGGTCCTTAATGATGGTGAGCAGAGGGTCAGGGACTCCGAAAGCACGAAGAACAACCCAGAGCCCAGGCCTACTGATAGTATCATAGGCCTTGACCAGGTCAATAAAGCAGAGATGTAGGTCCTGTTGGAATTTCCTAAACCTCTGCTGTAGCAGACGGACAGAAAATATGGCATCTGCGCAGGACCGCCCTTTCCTGAAACCGCATTGGGGCTCCGCAAGCCTCTCCTCAGCGTGCCTAGCAAGGCGATGTTGAATAATCCTTGCCAGGACCTTTCCCGGCACACTGAGGAGTGAGATGCCCCTGTAGTTGTTACAGTCTGAGTGTGCGGTCCCCCTTCTTAAAGAGGGGGACCACCAGGGCATGCTTCCAATCCTGCGGAACCCGTCCAGTGGTCCAGACTGTTGTTATGATGTCATGTAGGGCAGTCTGTGCACAAACGCCACCCTCCCTCAGCATTTCGCTTGGGAGATCATCTCTGCGTGGTGCCTTTCCTGGTCTCAGACTCTGGGTCGCCTTCAGTACTTTCTCAACAGATGGCGCCTCAGCCAGCCACTCACAGGGGGTGACTACTTCTTCCAATATTTGAGGCACCGCAGCCTCAGCAGGGTCATCCCCACTTTGTGCCAAGATGTTTTCCTGGCTGAGGGATTTCCCCTCCCCCAGGACCTCACAGAAATGCTCAGCAAATCGTCTCCAAAACAGGAGACGAGGCTCAAAAAGAAAGCTGTCTCTGGTGTGGACCAATCAGTTTCAACGACAATGCATATATTTTCAGAGTGTGATTTTTGTTTGCATTTTGACTGCAAGTATTGTGGTTAATGCAAACATGAATCCTCGTAAAAAAAAGGTTTCAGTTTTGTTGCCAGGGGAAAAACTCTATTATTAGGGATTTGTGATCGCGGGCCACTTAGGCAGACTCCATCTCCTCAGCAACCTGCGACCAGCAGCGCTGACGTGGGATGCTGTAGACTATTCGAGTGGGCCTGTCGCTTTTTCTTAACCATCCTGAACACCTCCTGGGTCAGCCATGGTCTCTGGGGAGGTCTGGACCGCGTACCCAAAGCAGCCATTGCAGCTGCATGAGTCACAATCCTAAACCTCACCCATTTACCCTCGACATCAGGAGGAGTGGACGATGATACCAACCCCAGCCGCAAGCGATGATGAAATTCTCGCTTGCAACTTTCATCAGCTAACTGAAACCAGGCCACTTTAGGTCAGAATGCGGTCCTGGGTGTACACCCACCACCGGAGTGGAAGAATGGCAGGCGCATCTTACAGATGACTAGTCGATGGTCAGAGGGCAGATCAGCTCCACGGTAGGTCCTGGTGTCAAGGACATGGGCTCGCATCCGCTGGTCCATCACTATGTAGTCCAGCAGATGTTCTTGCTTGGACCCGGCATGCATCCATGATGTTGTGTGGATGCACCGATGCCGGAAGAGCGTGTTGGTAATTACAAGCCCAAGGGCTGTACAAAAATCTAGCAGCCTTCTACCGTTGTTATTGAGCTGATCTGGCACATGCCCTCCAATCACTCTAGAACAAGTGCCAACATCATGATCAACTCGGGCATTGAAGTCACCCAACTAGATTAAAATATCACGAGTGGCCACTTGAGAGCCAGCCCCTGTGACAGGAGGTCATAGAAGGCATCTGATTCATCAGCTTTGCCTGCATCCCTCCACGGATATTCGTCTTCGGTGGGGGCATTTGTAACCACGACCACCACTCCTCGCCTCCGGTTGATGGGAAGGCAAGCCCAAAGTAGCCTGGGGCTTACAGCTTCCCACACCTCATCGCCACGCTCCCACGCCCCCTTCATTCTTTTGTTCAGAATAAGAGCCACACCCTGTTGTTTGGCAGTCTCCTGCCCCGAGTAGAGGACTGTCCACCCCTCATGGTGGTAGGAGCCAGAACCGGTCCACCGGACCTCCTGAATGCTACAGAGATCGAGGCGGTACCGGTCTAGCTACCGACAGAGGAGTGGCAGCCTCTCCTCCGCAGTGAGCGTTCGAACATTCCACGTGGCCACACGAAGTGGCTTTTCGTTGTTTCTGGAGGCTCCCTGAGGGTAAAGATTCAATCTCCTGGCTCCACCAATTGGGGTTTGGCCAGGAGACGTCATAGACGCCTGTCCCCCCGGGGCCTCTGGCACGAGCTTATTAATTAGTGGTCATTAATTGAAGGTGGAGGGGTTACTAGCCCCTCGCACCCATCCAGAGCCCCCGTTTAGCCACTGTGGTGGTCACAGACGCCTTGAGGGGAGAGGCCAATCAGCATTGGCCCTCCCCTAACAGCACTGTCCACGACAACGTTGCCCGTTCGGCACCGCGAGGAGGTAGGGGGTTGTTTTGCGGGACTATTAAGTACACTACTACACACTACACTATACTACTATACAGTACACTACTATACACTACACTATACACTACACTACTATACACTACACTACTATACACACTAATATACAGTACGCTACTATACACTACACTATACACTACTTTACAGTACTCTACTATACAGTACACTATACACTAATATATAGTACTATACACTACACTACTATACACCACACTACTATACACTACACTACTATACACTACACTACTATACACTACACTATATACTACACCACTATACTACATTGATAACGAATTTCTTTAGAACTGACTGTTTTGTTTAGTTTCTTGTCCCTCCCCCCACACCTCCGAAGATCAACGCGCACACACACAGCGCGTTCCCTCGTCATTCACGAACTCGCTATCCGCAAGTTTGGCGATCTGCGAATCGCGTCTGGAACTCTGCATGACTGCTGCATCGAGAGAGAGATAAAGCGATGAGAGATAAAGTAATGAGAGAGATAAAGTGATGAGAGATAAAGCGATGAGAGATAAAGCAGTGAGAGATAAAGTGATGAGAGATAAAGCGATGAGATATAAAGTAATTAGAGAGATAAAGCGATGAGAGATAAAGCGATGAGAGATAAAGTGATGAGATATAAAGTAATGAGAGAGATAAAGCGATGAGAGATAAAGCGGTGAGAGATAAAGTGATGAAAGATAAAGTGGTGAGAGATAAAGCGACAAGAGATAAAGCGATGAGAGATAAAGTGATGAGAGATAAAGTGGTGAGAGATAAAGTGATGAGAGATAAAGTGATGAAAGATAAAGTGGTGAGAGATAAAGCGACGAGAAATAAAGCGATGAGAGATAAAGTGATGAGAGATAAAGTGGTGAGAGATAAAGTGATGAGAGATAAAGTGATAAGAGATAAAGCGATGAAAGATAAAGTGGTGAGAGATAAAGCGTCGAGAGATAAAGTGGTGAGAGATAAAGTGATGAGAGATAAAGCGACGAGAGATAAAGCAATGACGGCGATGGCGGAGCGTGCTGCAGTGCATCCCGTGGAGAGCGACGGCTTGAACTACGATCGATCCACGATGACGACGATGACGACGATGGGGCGATGTGGACGGTGACTTGTGCCGCAGTGCGTGACGCGGAGCGCGACGGCGGGACGACGGACCAGGCCACGAGGGCTCTGCAGGACAGATGCTCTCAGCTGCAGGAGCAGGTCGAGCAGATGGAGGTGCCGCGCGCAACAACCGGGCACCGTCGCGCACTCACCCCCGATGCTCGTTGCAAGCCGAGTCACCTTGCGCCGCACGGGGACAGCTGACACCGGGGGTGCCCTAGGCCGCGCCCGCATCATCGTCCCCCTGCTGGCGGGATCATTTCCCCGCTCGCTCCGGGAGAGTCGGCGGGAGAGGCCTCGCTGCCGGATGGGATGTCCCAGCGGAGGCGAGAGGAATTCACTCGAGTTATATTCCTCACAAATGTGTGGCCAGTTCTTGTAGATAACTGTATATACAGCTCCAGTGGCTCCAGCATGTCAGATTTCCTACACAATATATACATCGGGCGTTGCACCTTATCTCGCTGCATTGCAGCTTATATAATTGGAATATTTAAAAGTCTCCATTGTTGTGGTAAAATTTCTGGCTTACCCGAATCCAACTCTTTTCTGACTTACCCGAATCCAACTCTTTTCTGGCTTATCCGAATCCAACTCCTCTGCGTGACACTGTGGCGTGGCTGTGCGCAGGCGTTCCTGCGGGACTACGGACTCGTCTGGGTGGGAGACGCTGGCGGGCGAGGGGCGGAGGGTCGCGAGCCGGCTGCCGACGCCGGTGGTGAAACCCACGGGAGCTCACGTACGCACGTGCACACGCATTCACGCGCATGTGCACACGTACTCACGCGCACACGCATGGATGTGTACACGCACGCATGCACGCGCACGACAAAGATCCCCCGTGTAGCCTAACAGACTGTCGGGGCAAGTGCTGTTAGCGAGCATCTACGAAGGCCGGAACGGCACACGAGGGGGTGGGTGGCCAGCACCACGCCCGGCCGCCTTTGTCTCTGAGCAGCGATGTTTTCACACCGCACCAGGTGCTCATTTGAGGCTGAGTCGACCTAGGGGAGGCCCAGGACGGCTCGCCGGGTTTGTAGCGCAGCGCTCACCGCCTATTAGCATGCAGCAGCATCAGCACTGACCGGTTAAAGCGAACCCTGCACTGCTGATGAGGCGGTGAATGCCAAAAACCGGGTCGACCTAGGGGAGGGCCCATGGCCGGTTCAGATGATCACCATGATCGGTGTCGCGGGCCGTGAGCGGGAATCAAACTCGGGTCGCCGGGATTCACAGCGCCGCGCCACGCTAACCGCTGCACCGCCGCTCCCCAGGGCCGACCGCCGACGCCGCCGCGGGCCTCCGCGTGGACTTGGACGCGGTGCTGCGGCACGTGCGGGAGCTGAACCTGGTGGCCGGCGAGGGGGAGTCCCAGGTGGAGCGCACGGCCGGAGGGGCGCGCCTGAGGCCTCCGCAGAGCGTGCCGCTCACCCTCTACCGCAACGGCATGCTCATGTTCGGCGGGCCCTTCCGGCCCTACACCGACCCCGCCACGCAGGTGAAGCGAGCCCCCCCCCCCCCCCCCGTTGCCTGCCACAGCAGCAGCGGCAGGCGATGGTGGCCGAGGGTTTATGATTATTTCTATTACGTACTCGACGACAAAAAATGATTACAACTATTTTTTATTTACGCGCTTTTATTTAACTCACTCTGTCTGTTGTTGTTGTATCCTCAAATCTTGTAACTCAATTTTAACCTACTTCTCAATGTGGTATCGACTGCAAACTTGGTTTACTTTTGTCATACTGATGACAATACTATATTCGATCATAATCAAAAAATTCTAATAAATATTTTGAAACCATCTTTTTTACATGTTTCGGCTTGTGTCTAATTGTCCACGCTCAACTGACGTTGGCTGTAAATCACCACGGCCCCTCACGTTATGGCAAGCCTCGGGGCCACATCCTGGAGTCGTGGAGTTCTGCCATTACTAGTGTAGTGCTCGACTTGACACGACAGCTTCTTGTCTTTCCTCTTTCACTTTATTTCGCGTATACCGATCAACACTCCTCCAGCTAACACCGATCAACACTCCTAAAGCTAACACCGATCAACGTTTCTCCTCCGCGCTCTCCGCTCGCTCGCCGCGTTCCGCCGGCCTCACTCGCTCCCCTTCACTCCTCCATCGACTCTCCTCTCCACTCTCTCCGCCACAGTTCGGCTGCTCTTTATCAGCTCCGCCGTCACACTCTGTCGTAACTACATCAGCTTCTCTTCCCACACTCCAGCCGCTTCCTACTGGCTTCGTCGTCTCACTGCTACCCTACGCTTCTCCACTGCTACTCTACACTTCTCCACTGCTACCCTACACTTCTCCACTGCTACCCTACACTTCTCCACTGCTACCCTACGCTTCTCCACTGCTACCCTACACTTCTCCACTGCTACCCTACACTCTCCACTGCTACTCTACGCTTCTCCACTGCTACCCTACACTTCTCCACTGCTACCCTACACTTCTCCACTGCTACTCTACGCTTCTCCACTGCTACTCTACGCTTCTCCACTGCTACCCTACACTTCTCTACTGCTACCCTACACTTCTCCACTGTTACTCTACACTTCTCCACTGCTACCCTACACTTCTCCACTGCTACCCTACACTTCTCCACTGCTACCCTACACTTCTCCACTGCTACCCTACACTTCTCCACTGCTACTCTACACTTCTCCACTGCTACCCTACACTTCTCCACTGCTACCCTACACCTCTTTACTGCTATTAGCTCTGCTGCTTCGACTCCTCCATCCTCTGTCTCCTCCCAGGCGCGAACTCCTGTCTCCTCCATTAATCTGGGGCATCCCCCGCGACGCCACTCGCCCCCAGCCCCCGCTGGCACCTGTCATGGTTTTCCCCGACAATGCGGCGCCACTCAGTGACAACAACAACCTCCCGGCCAATCAGCGCCCTGCGTCCTTAATTACTCCCTGCCACCTGCTACCGTCCTCAGACAGCGCGGCCCACATCTCGACAACAACAACAAGCAGCCAATCAGCGCCCCGTGTCCTTATTTGCTCCCTACTCGTCTCCGGCCCTCTACTCACGCCAAGCAACAGCAACACCTCGATCTCGGTTGCTCCCACTGTACGCCGTATGCGCGCACACCGACTTCAGCGTGTGACGCGTACTTTCAGGCACTACATTAGTACGGTACATTTCATTAAAGCGTGTTTAAAAAAAAGTGTTTTTAAACGTTACTTATTTAGTTATTCTATTGTCACCAGCTGTACGGCCCCACTGAGCTGCTACGTAGCCCTTTCTGCCGAGGCGGACCAGGCGATCACAAATGGTAGCCCCATTTGGCCACATGGCCTCCCAGCATTGAACCACTTCTTGGACCACATCAATTCCAGACACCCATCCATCAGATTCACCATGGAAGTGGAGAAAGATGGTAAACTACCATTCTTAGATATTCTGTTTGAGAGGAGACCTGATGGATCCTTGGGACATTCTGTCTACAGGAAAGCCACCCACACAGATTCCTACTTGAAACCTGATTCCCACCACCACCCATCTCAAAATAATTCTCTCATCAAAACGCTATACCACAGAGCACATGGCATTTCTGACCAACACCACCTGGCCAGTGAATTAAGACATGTACATCGGGCCCTCAGGATGAACGGATACTCTGACCGCACCATCCGCCAAGCTGTTTCTCCCACCATACAGAAACAGCCACATGAAACTCCAATCAAAACTACCACGTTGCCATACATAGCAGGTGTGACCAAAAAGATCTCCCAAATTCTAAACAAACATAAGATCCAATTCCGATTTAGTACAGTACATAAAATCCGTGATCTAATTCCATCTGTGAAAAATGTCATTCCTGACTTACAATACCCTGGAGTCTACAAACTGAGTTGCAGTTGTGATGATTGCTACATTGGAGAAACGAAACGTCATATCTCTGATCGTGTCCGCGAGCACAAGTCAGATCTGAAACACGGCAAAACTGATTCTTCCGCCATTGCCGATCATTGCTACAACGCTGTGGGCTCTCATGAAATTGTCTTTTCCGAGACCAAGGTGCTCTGCAAACCTCCTGTACACGAAGCCATCCAAATATACAAACACAGACATAATTTCAACCGTGATGATGGGTACAAACTTAGTAATCATTGGAAAGATGTTATTAACCATGCAAAAAAGATTTAACTACACATATTTGGACCATCTTATTTGACAGGCACTATTCTTCAGTTACCGTATATTTTCTTCTTCTTTTTTCACACACTGGTTTTCCTACTTTAAGTTTTACCGCACATATTTGGCAAATCTAGAATTAATCCCAGCAACGTAGCAAAAGTGCTGTTTCATCTACATAACAAAGGCTCAGTCCCATTCACAGCAGCCGCACCTTTACATCAGCCGCACCTTAACAACTCTTAGAACCTCCCAGTTCAACCAGTCTATACAACAAAGACTCATTCCTGGCAGCGGTTTCAGCCGCACCACCTCTACATAACAAAAGGCTCAGTCCCATTTACACGCACCTTTACATCAGCCGCACCTTAACAACTCTTGGAACCTCCGAGTTCAACCAGTCTACACAACAAAGGCTCATTCCTAACAGCGTGCTTCAGCCACACCAAACCTCACAATAATAATATCCAGGGCCTACCTTGGCTCCTCCCACCCTCAACCAGTATATATACAAGGACTGTTTTCTTGGAATATCTCTTACTTGATACAGCTATCGTGCTGTGACGGTTCCACCTGAAGACGGAAGCTTGTGTTGCCTCCGAAACGTCGTGATTTTTATTTTATTTTTATTTTACTTTTATTAATTTTAATTTTTTACCTACGTGACTTTACCGAAAAAACCTAAGAATCCAAATATACAGCAGCAGGCGTCAGGGTTGGTATCAGACCCACGACCTCCTGCATACCAGGCGAGGTAGTTAACATCTCCTAGCCACCGCATATGTATGTTGAACTTCTTTCGCACCGTACGTAGCCAACTGTGCCACGTATCTCTCTGTATGTCTGTGGGTCTCTATGTATCTCTCTGTATGTCTGTGGGTTTCTACCAGGGACATGCGGTCAGGGGAATTAAGATTTTTCCACTGATCTGTGTTATAAATGTCATTTCTGTACGAGTCCAATCATTTTTATAGTCAAAATCGCCAAATTTGCGGAGCTCCGACGCAAATACAGGAAGAGACGAGAGGTGAGGCAGCGACGAGCTCAGCCTCCCCTCTGATTGCGCAACCCCTCAGTAAGTGGATGGAGCGCGGGCAATAAGCGCGTGCCTCTTACTATCTCAGTATGTCACCAATGTAATGTTTGTAGACCCCTTCATTTCATGTCCTCGCCTTCCATGCTCCAGGTAACTTATGTCACGTGCGTGTATAAAAATATTTAGGCTTGCTGGTCTCGTCATGAAACTGCAATGAAAAAGCACCAGGGGAGGCAGCTATCACATCTGCCTCACAGTGAGGCCACGCCCCGTCAGTGAAGCCACGCCCCCCTCAGTGTGTGAATCTGGCTCTGACACGAGCCAGTGCCTCCCCAGCCATTGACCTCACCGCACGTCACTGGTCTCTATGTATCTCTGTGTATCTCTATGGGTCTCTATGTATCTCGATGGGTCTCTATGGGTATCTATGTATCTCTATGTGTCTCTCTGTATCTCTGTGTATCTCTGTGGGTCTCTATGGGTCTCTGTGTATATCTGTGTATCTCTATGGGTCTCTATGGGTCTCTGTGTATCTCTGTGGGTCTCTGTATCTCTGTGTATCTCTATGTATCTCTCTGTGTCTCTATGGGTCTCTATGGGTCTCTATGTATCTCTATGTGTCTCTATGTGTCTCTATGCATCTCTATGGGTCTCTGTGTATCTCTGTGTATCTCTATGGGTCTCTGTGTATCTCTGTGTGTCTCTATGGGTCTCTATGTATCTCTATGGGTCTCTGTGGGTCTCTATGTATCTCTATGGGTCTCTCTGTATCTCTATGGGTTTCTATGTATGTCTATGGGTCTCTGTGTATCTCCGTGAGCCTCCCCGTGACGGAGCGCTTGTCGTGTCTCAGGAGTGTCTGCAGGACATCGTGGACGGATACTTCCCCTCCGAGCTGCAAGCTCGATACCCGGACGGCGTCCCCTTCCAGGTGCCCTCCAACATCCCCGTGCTGGAACTCCACTCACTCACTCGCTCGCTAAAACTCAACTCACTCACTCGCTCAAACTCATCTCACTAACGAGCTAAAACTCATCTAACTAATGAGCTAAAACTCAACTAACGAGCTAAAACTCATCTAACTAACTCGCTAAATCTCAACTAACTAACGAGCTAAAACTCAACTAACGAGCTAAAACTCATCTAACTAACGAGCTAAAACTCAACTAACTAACGAGCTAAAACTCATCTAACTAACGAGCTAAAACTCAACTAACTAACGAGCTAAAACTCAACTAACTAACGAGCTAAAACTCATCTAACTAACTCGCTAAATCTCAACTAACTAACGAGCTAAAACTCAACTAACTAACTCGCTAAAACTCAGCTAACTAACGAGCTAAAACTCATCTAACTAACGAGCTAAAACTCATCTAACTAACTCGCTAAAACTCAACTAACTAACGAGCTAAAACTCAACTAACTAACGAGCTAAAACTCAACTCACTAACGAGCTAAAACTCATCTAACTAACTCGCTAAATCTCAACTAACTAACGAGCTAAAACTCAACTAACTAACGAGCTAAAACTCAACTAACTAACGAGCTAAAACTCATCTAACTAACTCGCTAAAACTCAACTAATTAACGAGCTAAAACTCATCTAACTAACTCGCTAAATCTCAACTAACTAACGAGCTAAAACTCATCTAACTAACTCGCTAAAACTCAACTAACTAACGAGCTAAAACTCATCTAACTAACGAGCTAAAACTCAACTAACGAGCTAAAACTCATCTAACTAACAAGCTAAAACTCAACTAACTAACGAGCTAAAACTCATCTAACTAACTCGCTAAAACTCAACTAACTAACGAGCTAAAACTCAACTAACTAACGAGCTAAAACTCAACTCACTAACTCGCTAAAACTCATCTAACTAACTCGCTAAAACTCAACTAACTAACGAGCTAAAACTCATCTAACTAACTGGCTATAACTCATCTAACTAACGAGCTAAAACTCATCTAACTAACGAGCTAAAACTCAACTAACTAACGAGCTAAAACTCATCTAACTAACGAGCTAAAACTCAACTAACTAACGAGCTAAAACTAATCTAACTAACGAGCTAAAACTCAACTAACGAGCTAAAACTCAACTAACTAACGAGCTAAAACTCAACTCACTAACTCGCTAAAACTCATCTAACTAACTCGCTAAAACTCAACTAACTAACTCGCTAAAACTCATCTAACTAACTCGCTATAACTCATCTAACTAACGAGCTAAAACTCATCTAACTAACGAGCTAAAACTCAACTAACGAGCTAAAACTCAACTAACTAACGAGCTAAAACTCATCTAACTAACGAGCTAAAACTCAACTAACTAACTCGCTAAAACTCATCTCACTAACGAGCTAAAACTCATCTAACTAACTCGCTAAAACTCAACTAACTAACGAGCTAAAACTCAACTAACTAACGAGCTAAAACTCATCTAACTAACGAGCTACAACTCAACTAACTAACGAGCTAAAATTCATCTAACTAACTCGCTAAAACTCATCTAACTAACGAGCTAAAACTCATCTAACTAACGAGCTAAAACTCAACTAACTAACGAGCTAAAACTCATCTAACTAACGAGCTAAAACTCATCTAACTAACGAGCTTAAACTCATCTAACTAACGAGCTAAAACTCAACTAACTAATGAGCTAAAACTCAACTAACGAGCTAAAACTCATCTAACTAACGAGCTAAATCTCAACTAACTAACGAGCTAAAACTCATCTAACTAACGAGTTATAACTCATCTAACTCGCTTAAAACTCAACGAACTAACGAGCTAAAACTCATCTAACTAGCGAGCTAAAGCTCAACGAACTAGCTAAAACTAAGCAAACTTAAACCAAACATTTTTCATTTTGACCAGGCAAGGCCTGCTGAGCTGTGTGGCTCTTTTTCAGAAGCTACTTCAAGTTCATTTATTTGCTATAGCCCTGTGAGCCATTCGGCTCTTGAATCGGGTGCAACCGCAACAAACAAAAAAAACATGAACAAGAAAACATCTTAAAGTGACTATGTGCAAACAGAAAATCCAAGAAAAGACAGCAAAATATTGCAGAAAAAGCACCGTACACCAACACTGTGTGCAAAAATCTCAGTGGGATGCAAGTCAAACAACAACAACCACAAGACAACTTAGATTAAGGCCATCAGTCTAACTCTGTGTAATAAACGACTCTGTCAGGCTCTCTTGGTCTCCGTTGTCGTTTATTTTAGGTTCTTCGTATCGCACCCCGCTGGTCCTCGACCGGACCTGCGCGGACTCCGCGCGCGCCCCGCGCACGCTCCGTGTGGCCGCTCCGCTCTCTCCGTGTGCCCCGCACATGCCACCAGTCACACCGCTCGCTCCGTGTGCCCCGCACACTCCGCTAGTCACTCACTAGCTACGTGTGCCCCGCACACTCTACTAGCCCTTCACACACCGCTAGCCCCGTCTACCCCACGCACACCGCTGGCCGACGGTGTGCGTAGGTCTACGACCACGTGGCAGATGGCGCCGCTCCTCCACACTGCCCAGCGTGGCTTCCCCTATTCTCGCTCCGTTCCCACTCCCCGATCTCTTCCGGCTCTCTCTCTATATCCTCCCCATCACGTGACCCTGACTCCTCCTTCCCGTACTGCCCCCGTCTCCGCCCCCCGTCTCCGCCCCCCGTTCACCTCGTCTCCCATTGGAGCCTCGTCTCCCATTGAAGCCGAGGTGAGCAGTGGCTCCTCCCACACGCTCCGGTGTGAGTGGCGCGGAGGCCAGCAACCACCCCGTTTATGCTCGCATTACATCTGTACTACAACAAACAAAGATGGCCAAACCGAAAAACTTTTCGAAAATCGCCAAGATAAAGCCATAAAAGCAATGAAACAGTGATCATAGGAACTGTAACCGAATTTTCACAATAATTTACAATACTTGGCCGTGAACGAAGTGGCTCATCATCATCATCACCACGTGGACATTAATCGCGGCCAAATTACTTTGAACGCGTGACGTTAATTATAAATGTGGAGGGAATAACTGGAGGAGCCCGGAGAGAAATCACGCGACCAAGGGAAGACAGAGAGAGACACACGAACTCCAAATATACAGCAGCAGCAGGCGTCAGGGTCGGGATCGAACCCACGACCTCCTGTATACCAGGCGAGGAAGTTAACATCTCCTAGCCACTGTGATGCCACGTGATAAATAATTAATATTCTAGGGTAAGGCACAGCCCGCGGTAATGCGAGAGGTGCATACGCAGGACCCAACAAAGACTGAGGAAAAGCTGTGGGTAGCCTCTAGAAGAATCCAGCAGCATCCCAATGTCTTTGTTGTGACGCTAGGTAGCAACTAGAAGAATCCAGCAGCATCCCAATGCCTTGTTGTGACGCTAGGTAGCAACTAGAAGAATCCAGTAGCATCCCAATGTCTTTGTTGTGACGCTAGGTAGCCTCTAGAAGAATCCAGCAGCATCCCAATGTCTTTGTTGTGACACTAAAGTAGCATCCAGGTCAGCCCCTTCTTTGAGCTACCATTCGTGATCGCCAGGTCGCTTCTGAAAAAATAGCTATACAGCTCAGGTGGGCTTTAACTGGTAAAATAAAACATGGTTCATAGTTTAGTTTAGCACATAGAAGGAGCTTTCGCGACCAATATTATTCACACACCGGTGGGCCGAAGTAGTAAACAATTTGCTTACATGATGAACCTTTCCTGGCTGGAGGGTTACGATGCATTTATACTTTACGCGATCTAACCCACAAACCTTTATTGTGAGTGTATAGTTGAGTTTAGCCACTGCCGCCGCGTTACGGGAGAACAGCTCCATTGGTCGGCATCTCCTGGTCACCGTGGCGAGCGGAGCAGCAGCTGCGGCCGCTTCCGAGCCAACGACTGGAATTGATTGTTGGCTCCCGTGGGCGCCGGCGGGCAGGTGACGGACCGGCGGGGCGAGGTGTTCCATGAGCGCCGTCTCGGAGATGACTTCCCTGGCCACGGGGAGACGCTGGGGGGGGGACGAGGAGGAGGAGGCGGGGTGGAGACGTCGCGACTCGTGGAGCCGCACGCCGAGGAGCGGAGCGAGCGGAGTGGGCGAGCAACGGCTGGTGCGCAGACACACACACGGACACACACTCATTCCCCGTTTAGCCTGTAACAGATAGTTGGGGCAAGTGCTGTTAGCGAGTAGCACCTATGAAGGCCAGCACAGCACACGAGGGGGTGGGTGGTTGGCACCACGCCCGGCGGCTTTTGTCTCTCCAGTGGCGATGATTTTTACACACCGCACCAGGTACTCGTTTGAGGCTGAGTCGACCTAGGGGAGGCCCAGGACCGGTTCAGATAATCGTCACTGGGTGTTGAGCATCAGCGGGAATTCAACTCGGGTCGCCAGGTTCATAGCGCAGTGGGTGAACCGCTACACCACCGCTCCCCACTACACTCCCGCTCACACACAACAACAACCGCCATTCGCCACTAAGTGGCAGTGACGTTACCACGACGCTTGTGCCAGGATATGTGCATGTTGAGGCCACCTGAAGTGTCGAACGCCCGCTGGCAGGAGGTCACCGGGCAAACCCAGATGCCACAGGTCGACTGACTGAGATGACTGAGATGACTGACTGATGCACCACCTGTGCCCCCTACTGTGCCAACTTGCTGTGCTTTAGCCACCCGGCGCTCCGCTCATTGTTGTGAGCGTCGCTCCTCCCCCCTCCGTTGTTGTTGGAGGGCGACTGCCTCCAACTGCTCAGTAGCGTCCTTCACGAGCCTCCTCCACAGAGGCCGATGTTGACACCGCTGGTACCAGTCATCGGCAAGTCCACTCAGCTCCACATCCTCTTGTACCACATCACTCCATCTCTTCTCTAGGCCATTCCGCGCCCATTAAGCCCCCTCTATCAGCCGAACAAAAGCTGTGGGCTTCATGACCCAGCCAACGCAGCCTTGCCTGCTGGAGGAGCTCACCGATGGGACTTTGTCCACATCTTTCAAGGATTTGTGAGCTCCTCACCCAATCTAGCCTGGTTAAACCCAGGATCGATCGTAGGCAGGCCAGCCTAAATGTTTCTCACTGGCGAAGATGCTCCATTGGGGGGGTCCACGTTTCGCATGCGTAGAGAAGGAAATGATTGTGGCCGAGAAGGCTAAAGCTTCGTGCGGAGCGACAGACCAGGTAGCTTCCACACAGCGTTACACAACCGATAAAAAGATAATGCTGCTCGACTGATTCGGAGTGAGACCTCTGCTGTCAAACCGGAGTCAGTCATGAGCACACTGCCCATGTATGGGAAACTCTCCACTCTCTCCACAACTGCCCCATCACCAATTGGGAGTTGTGGGGGTGGAGTGTCCGATGGTACAAAATACCCAGGCAGGTGGTTAGTTTTGGTGGGGCTGATTGTAAGGCTCCACCTCTTAGTGGCAAGCTCCAGGTGCAGCAGCAGCGCCTCCAACTCCTCTTCTGAGTGAGCAGCAATTACCAGATCATCCGCATACGTAACATGGTTGACCAATAGGGAGACATCCCTTGACCGCTTCCGGGCATCGATCAGCCTCCCATTGTATCTGTATCAAATGGAATATTCCTCCGGTACAGCTATTGAAGGCTTCACGAACTATGTGGTCGAAATATATGTTAAATAATGTGGGAGCCGGAGGACATCCCTTTCACACCCCAAGGTGAACAGGCAATGGCTCCGACTCTCGGCCATGTAGTTTTACCTGGGCCTGCTCACCATCATGAAGGTCCTTAATAATCGTGAGCAGAGAGTCAGGGACTCCAAAAGCACGAAGAACAATCCAGAGCCCAGACCTACTGATGGTATCATAGGCCTTGACCAGGTCAATAAAGCAGAGATGTAGGTCTTGTTGGAATTCCCTACATCTCTGCTGTAGCAGACGGACAGAAAATATGGCATCTGCGCAGGACCGCCCTTTCCTGAAACCGTATTGGGGCTCTGCAGGCCTCTCCTAAGCGTGCCTGGCAAGGCGATGTTAAATAATCCTTGCCAGGACCTTTCCCGGCACACTGAGGAGTGAAATACCCCTGTAGTTGTTACAGTAGTTGTTACTCTCTGTCCCCCTTCTTAAAGAGGGGGACCACCAGGGTATACTTCCAATCCTGCGGAACCAGTCCAGTGGTCCAGGCTGTTATTATAATGTCATGTAGGGCAGTCTGTGCACAAACGCCACCCTCCCTCAGCATTTCGCTTGGGAGATCATCTATGCCCGGTGCCTTTCTGGCCTCAGATTCTGGATCGCCTTCAGTACTTCCTCAAAAGATGGCACCTCAGCCAGCCACTCACAGGGGGTGACTTCTTCCAATATTTGAGGCATCGCAGCCTCAGCAGGGTCATCCCCACTTTTCTCCATGATGTTTCCAGACTGAGGGATTTACCCTCCCCCAGGACCTCATAGAAATGCTTAGCAAATCTGCAAACCTGTTCCTGTGGGTCGGAGATTGGATCACCGTTCTTTCTCTTAATGATGGTAATAGGTGTGGTGCTGGAAGTTGTGTTTTTGATTGAATTTAAGAGCGATTGTGATCGTGGGCCACTGAGACAGATTCCATTTCCTCAGCTACCCACGACCACCACCCATCCTTGCAGCACCTCACGGCTCTTTGAACCTCCGAGTGAAGGCTGCGGTAAGCATCCTCATACTCTGGCGTGGGATGCTGTAGACAATTAGAGTGGGCCTGTCGCTTTTCTCTGTCAGCCTGAACACCTCCTCGGTCAGCCAGGGTCTCTGGGGAGGTCTGGACCGTGTACCCAAAGCAGCCATTGCAGCTGCATGAGTCACGGTCCTAAATCTTGCCCATTTCCCTTCAACATCAGGAGGAGTGGGGGACGATGCCAACCCCAGCCGCAAGCGATGATGAAATTCTTGCTTGCAACTTTCATCATCTAGCTGAGACCAGACCACTATGGTTTGAATGGGGTCCTGGGTGTACACCCACCACCGGAGTGGAAAAATGGCAGGCGCATCTTGCAGATGACAAGTCGATGGTCAGTGGGCAGATCAGCTCCACGGGAGGTCCTGGTGTCAAGGACATGGGCCCGCATCCGCTGTTCCGTCACTATGTAGTATAGCAGATGTTCTTGCTTGGACCCGGCATGTATCCATGATGTTGTGTGGATGCGCCAATACCGGAACAGCGTGTTGGTAATTACAAGCCCATGGGCTGCACAAAAATCTAGCAGCCTCCTGTCGTTGTTATTGAGCTGATCTGGCCCATGCCTTCCAATCACTCCAGACCAGGTTCCAGCATCATGACCAACTCGGGCATTGAAGTCACCCAACAAGATGACTCTATCCCGAGGGGCCACTTGAGCTAGCACCCGTGACAGGAGGTCATAGAAGGCATTTGACTCATCGGCCTTGCCTGCATCCCTCCACGGATGTTCGTCTTCGGTGGAGGCATAAGTAACCACGACCACCACTCCTCACCTCTGGTTGATGGGAAGGCGAGCCCAAATTAGCCTGGGGCTTACAGCTTCCCACACCTCACCGCCATGCTCCCACGCCCCCTTCATTCTTTTGTTCATAAGAAGAGCCACTCCATGTTGTTTGGCAGCTTCCTGCTCCAAACAGAGGACTGTCCACCCCTCATGGTGACAGCAGCCAGAGCCGGTCCACCGGACCTCCTGAATACCACAGAGATCCAGGCGTTACCGGTCCAGCTCCCGACAGAGGAGTGGCAGCCTCTCGTCCGCAGTGAGCCTTCGAACATTCCACGTGGCCACCCACAGTGGCTTTTTTCTGTTTCTGGAGGAACCCCGAGGGTAAGGATTCAGTCTCCTGGCTCCGCCAAATGGGGTTTGGCCAGGAGACGTCATGGATGCCTGTCCCCCGGGCCCTCCGGCACAAGCTTAGTTAGATTTTATTTCGTGGTTTAGTGGTACCTGGATTGATGGTGGAGGGGTTACCAGCCACTCGCACCCGTCCAGAGCACCCTTTGGCCGCTGTGGTGGCTACAATCGCCATGAGGGGAATGGCCAATCGAAATTTGCCCTCCCCCCATGGCACTGCTGCTCACCACAGCGTTACCGTCCGGCACCAACAAGGAGGTAGGGGGTTTGTTGCCGCTTACATACACACACATGAATACCTACAAAAGACAACGATCCTCCGTATAGCCTAAACAGACTGTTGGGGAAAGTGCCATTAGTGAGCAACACCTACACACCCACGCAGCGAACACACACTCATTCACACACTTGCCCCAACAGTCCGTCAAGGCTGTACACGGGTGATCTCTGTCTCTGTGTTTCGTGAGAAGAGTGTGGTGTGAGCGTGGAGCAGTTCGTCAGCAAGCTTCCCGCGTGCGTCATCAAGCGAGGCAGCGTCGTGCCCGTCCGTGCGTCCGTGCGGAGCCTGCTCATGGTGCGTATCGACAGAGACACACACACAAAGACAAAGATACCCCCCTCTCCCGTGTAGCCGCAACAGACTGTTGGGGCAAGTGCTGTTCGCGAATTGCACCGATGAAGGCCGGCACGGCACCACACGATGAGGGGGCGGGTGGCCAACACCACCACGCCCGGCCGCCTTTGTTTCTCCAGTGGCGATGTTTACACACCGCGACACCAGGTACTCATTTGAGGCTGAGTCGACCTAGGGGAGGCCCAGGACCGATTTAGATAATCGTCACTGGTGTTGGCCGTGAGCGGGAATCGAATTCGAGATACTGGGTTCATAGCGAAGTGCGTTAACAGCTGCGCTACACACAAAATACAAAGATCCCCCATATAGCCTCAACAGACTGTTGGGGCAAGTGCTGTTAGCCAATTGCACCGATGAAGAACCGCACGGCACACGAGGGAGTGGGTGCCCAGCACCAAACCCCACCTCGGGGAGAGGCCCAGGACCGGTGCAGAGAATCGTCACCGGTGCTGGTGGCTGTGAGCGGGAAATCGAACTCGGGTAGGCAGGTTCATCGCGCAGCATGCGAACCGCTACGCTACGTCTCCCCACGATAGATACATACAGATACATAGATACACATACATACAGACACATAGATACATAGAGATACATACAGACGCATAGATACATACAGATGCATAGATACATAAAGACACATAGAGATACATACAGATACATAGATACATACAGATGTATAGACACACAGATATACATTAATACATATAGACACATAGATACATACGATACATACAGACTTAAAGATCATCCAGACACATAGATATGTACAGATAAATAACAACAACAACTGCCATTCGCCACTAAGTGGCGGTGACGTCACCACGACGCTTGTGCCAGGTAATGTGCACGTTGAGGCCACGTGAAGTGTCGAACGCCCGCTGGCAGGAGGTCACGGGGCAGACCCAGGTGCCACGGGTCGACTGACTGAGATGACTGGCTGATGCACCACCTGTGCCCCCTACTTGTGCCAACTTGCTGTGCTAATGCCACCCGGCGCTCCACTCGTTGTTGTGAGCGTTGCTCCTCCCCCCTCCGTTGTTGTTGGAGGGCGACTGCCTCCAACTCCCCAGTAGCGTCCTTCACGAGCCTCCTACACAGAGGCCGATCTTGACACCGCTGGTACCAGTCATCGGCAAGTCCACTCAGCCCCACGTCCTCCTGTACCACATCACTCCATCTCTTCTCTAGCCCGTGCCGCGCCCGTTTAGCCTCCTCGATCCTGCCAAACAAAAGCTGTTTAGGCATGCGGTGGCTGGGCATGCGGGCTACATGACCCAGCCAACACAGCCTTGCCTGCTGGATGAGCTCACCGATGGGACTTTGCCTAGATCTTTCAAGGACTTGTGAGCTCCTCACACAATCCAGCCTGGTTAAACCCAGGATGGATCGTAGGCAGGCCAGCCTAAATGTTTCTAACCGGCGAAGATGCTCCATTAGGGGGTCCACGCTTCGCAAGCGTAGAGAAGGGAGGGAATGACCGTGGCCGAGAAGACCCGAAGCTTCGTGCTGGTCTCACTCTGCTGGTCTCGCTCACAGGGTGACGACGATCCGGAGACTCGCACCAGGGGACTCATCACGGTGGAGACCAGCGTGGACAGGCGAGACAGCGGCGTCATCCTCGTCACCATCGTTGTCGTCACCATCATCATCGTCGTCATCGTCACTATGATCACCATGACGACGACCTTCATCATTGTCACCCATCTCTTCACCCCTAGCCCATCACGCCCCAGCTACGACCACGCCTACCCCAACCCCTACCCCAACCCCTACCCCAACCACCACCCCAACCCCTACCACTACCCCTACCCCTACCCCAACCACTACCACTACCCCAACCCCAACCCCTACCCCAACCACCACCCCAACCACCACTCCTACCACTACCCCAACCCCTACCCCAACCACCACCCCTACCACTACCCCAACTCCTACCCCGATAACTACCCAAACCCCTACCACTACCCCAACTCCTATCACTATCCCAACCACTACCAATACCCCTAACCAGTCCCTCCAGAAAAACGCGATTATGCGATCGCAAGATTCCACGCAAAATCAGCCAAAGTCCGCATATTTATGCGGGGGGCGCGTTATTTCAAATACGCCGCACTTTCGCCGCATAAATTGCAGATTTCCGCGCGCAAAATATGCGGGCTTGCATGATTTCATAATCCCCGCATTTTCGTTGCAAAAAGTCACATATATCTTAGCAGAAAGTTGAAAAATGTTGCGTTTACTTCACACAAGTGCAGCCATTTCCCCTGTTGCCATGGGAACGTTATGAAGTGACGTCACTCATTACAGTTGTAAGATTGCACTTTTTTGTTAGTATGTAAATTTACATTACTGTAAGACTGTACTGTTACTGTATTGCTTACGTTACTGTGCACTGAAAACACTTATTTTAACAGAAGATGTCTGTTTTGTATAGCTACCTCTGTAAAACAGGAAGCACACATTTTATTTTTTAATATTTTATTTATTCATTTTTACAGAAGTTGTAGCATATTCATTTTGTAAAGCTACAGAACTTGTTCGACTCAATGTTTTGTAAGTTTGAGCCATCTGTTTGTTAAGGTCTGAAATAAAACAAGATGAGAACTTAAATATTCCCAGCACTTTCTGTGATGTAGTATGCTTGCTTATCATAGGAAGTAATAAGAAATGACTCTTTACATTAAAGTAGTAGCCTAGTGAATAGGGTGTTGGGGGAATCACTTTTTTTTCTCTTTTTCATCAAACCGCAATTTTTGCAAGTTCCCGCAATTTAATCGCATAAAATTGCATAAATATCCCGCATATTCCATCGCATTTTTTAAGAAAACGTGCCGCATAATCAACGATTTTTGCCCGCAACAATCACCAAAAAACTCCGCGTTTTTCTGGAGGGACTGCCTAACACTACCCCTCGTCATTATGCATTGTTATAATAACGACGTGGTGTGATTGTGGTGTGACTGTGTGTTGTGACGCGGAGTGACGCGGTGTGACGCGGTGTGTTGTGACGTGGTGTGACGCGGCGTGACTCTGTGTGTTGTGACGTGGTGTGACTGTGTGTTGTGACGCGGTGTGTTGTGACGTGGTGTGACGCGGCGTGACTCTGTATGTTGTGACGTGGTGTGACGTGGTGTGACTCTGTGTGTTGTGATTGTGGTGTGACTCTGTGTGTTGTGATTGTGGTGTGACTCTGTGCGCTTCCGTGCAGGGCTGAGCGGGAGGGAGTGGGGGGGTTGGAGTTTGGCCGCATCGCGACCCTCAGAGTGAGGTCGGAGAGCGGAGAGGAGCGCTACCTCCTCCGGATGGAGGCCACCCACACCATCACTCACCTACGGGCTTACCTAGACTCTCACAGGTACACACACACCATCACTCACCTACGTGCTTACCTAGACTCTCACAGGTACACACACACACACCATCACTCACCTACAGGCTTACCTAGACTCTCACAGGTACACACACACACACCATCACTCACCTACGGGCTTACCTAGACTCTCACAGGTACACACACACCATCACTCACCTACGTGCTTACCTAGACTCTCACAGGTACACACACACACACCATCACTCACCTACGGGCTTACCTAGACTCTCACAGGTACACACACACACACCATCACTCACCTACGTGCTTACCTAGACTCTCACAGGTACACACACACACACCATCACTCACCTACGTGCTTACCTAGACTCTCACAGGTACACACACACACACCATCACTCACCTACGGGCTTACCTAGACTCTCACAGGTACACACACACACACCATCACTCACCTACGTGCTTACCTAGACTCTCACAGGTACACACACACACACCATCACTCACCTACGTGCTTACCTAGACTCTCACAGGTACACACACACACACCATCACTCACCTACAGACTTACCTAGACACGCACAGGTACACACACACACACCATCACTCACCTACGGGCTTACCTAGACTCTCACAGGTACACACACACACACCATCACTCACCTACAGGCTTACCTAGACTCTCACAGGTACACACACACACCATCACTCACCTACGGGCTTACCTAGACTCTCACAGGTACACACACACCATCACTCACCTACAGACTTACCTAGACTCTCACAGGTACACACACACCGTCACTCACCTACAGACTTACCTAGACTCTCACAGGTACACACACACCATCACTCACCTACGGGCTTACCTAGACTCTCACAGGTACACACACACACACCATCACTCACCTACAGGCTTACCTGGACTCTCACAGGTACACACACACACACCATCACTCACCTACAGACTTACCTGGACTCTCACAGGTACACACACACACACCATCACTCACCTACAGGCTTACCTAGACTCTCACAGGTACACACACACACACCATCACTCACCTACAGGCTTACCTGGACTCTCACAGGTACACACACACACACCATCACTCACCTACAGGCTTACCTGGACACGCACAGGTACCCATGCTATGTTCGTCATGTGACCCGTGCTATGTTCGCCACGTGACCCGTGCTATGTCCGTCACGTGAACCGTGCTGTGTCCGCCACGTGACCCGTGCTATGTCCGTCACGTGACCCGTGCTGTGTCCGTCACGTGACCCGTGCTGTGTCCGTCACGTGACCCGTGCTATGTTCGTCACGTGACCTGTGCTGTCCGTCACGTGACCCGTGCTATGTTCGTCACGTGACCCGTGCTGTGTTCGTCACGTGACCCGTTCTGTGTCCGTCACGTGACCCGTGCTATGTTCGTCACGTGACCCGTGCTGTGTTCGTCACGTGACCCGTTCTGTGTCCGTCACGTGACCCGTGCTGTGTCCGCCAGCTCCAGGCTGGGGCGGTCTCCAGGCTACGAGCTGCTCGCCGGCTTCCCTCCGCGCGTCTGCGACGACGCCGCGGCCTCGCTGGACACCCTCGGCCTGGCGCCCAGCGGCACGCTGCTCATGCGAGTCGCCGTGGCAGCCCGGGCTACAGCGCAGACACCTGCAGTGCCGTGACCTACAGCACCGTGACCTACAGTGCAGACACCTACAGCAGAGAGACCTACAGCACAGAGACCTACAACACAGAGACCTACAGCACAGACACCTACAGCACAGAGACCTACAGCACAGAGACCTACAGCACAGAGACCTACAGCACAGACACCTACAGCACAGAGACCTACAGCACAGAGACCTACAGCACAGACACCTACAGGACAGAGACCTACAGCACAGACACCTACAGCACAGACACCTACAGCACAGAGACCTACAGCACAGAGACCTACAGCACAGACACCTACAGCACAGAGACCTACAGCACAGACACCTACAGCACAGAGACCTACAGCACAGACACCTACAGCACAGAGACCTACAGCACAGAGACCTACAGCACAGACACCTACATCACAGACACCTACAGCACAGAGACCTACAGCACAGAGACCTACAGCACAGACACCTACATCACAGACACCTACAGCACAGAGACCTACAGCACAGACACCTACAGCACACACACGTCTGTAGAATATGGGTGTACAGCATAACGGGTCTCTCCGATGTGTCTTTCGGATCATGCCGCTATGTCATTCGGCACATTGTCTCGACGTTTCGCGTGCCCCCCCCCGCCCCCCGCCCCCTACGCGCCTGGGGATCTTCTGTCGAGCTTATCTCAAGCCACCCGCAGAAAGTTCCGCGTGGAGCGTGGAGCACGAAACGTCCGGGACATCATTCCAGGCAAGGCGACGCTACGAGTCGAGGGCACGTCGCAGCGTTGAAGCCGCGTCGGTGCGATCGCCCTCCACCTGCCCGTGGGTCAAAGCAGGGAGGTCCGGGGGGGGGGGGGGGGTGTATACGTACGGCAATGTTGAGTCTCAAAGTAGAAATAAAAAGTGAAATAAACGAAGGTGTCTTCTCCCACCTCGGATACGCGGCGTCGCGTACCGTTTCACCCGGCGGCTGGGCTCGCGTAGATCACAGTGAGCGCTAAACCTCTTCGTCTTGTCCAGAGAGAGCGGTGACCCTTCGCTGAGGTGGTCCAGGAACCGTGTTCTTCCAAGGGGTGCCACGGTGGCTAGGAGATGTTAACTACCTCGCCTGGTCTACAGGAGGTCGTGGGTTCGATTCCGTCCCTGACGCCTGCTGCTGTATATTTGGAGTTTGCGTGTCTCTCTCTCATCATCATCACGGTGGCTAGGAGATGTTAACTACCTCGCCTGGTCTACAGGAGGTCGTGGGTTCGATCCCGTCCCTGACGCCTGCTGCTGTATATTTGGAGTTTGCGTGTCTCTCTCTCATCATTATCACGGTGGCTAGGAGATGTTAACTACCTCGCCTGGTCTACAGGGGGTCGTGGGTTCGATCCCGTCCCTGATGCCTGCTGCTGTATATTTGGAGTTAGCTCTCTACGTGGCCGCGTGAATTTTTCTTCGGGTCCTCCGGTTTTTCCCTCCACATTTAGAATCGACGTCCCGCGTTCGAGTGGTTTGGCTGCTATGAAGATCCCCGTGACGATGGACCATTTCGTCGAGCTATCATTCGTGATGGGCCAGGTCGTTTCTGAAAGTAGAGGAGCTACATATATAGCTCAGTGGGGTCTTACCTGGCAAAATAAAATATATAGTTTATAGTTTTAATCTTGATTTTAAGCTTTCGTGACTGCAGGAATCCCCATACTCTTTGGTTCTTTCGGTCAAGTCACGTAGAAAAAGAATAATAGATCACGACGTTTCGATCGCCACACAAGTGACCGTCATCAGGTGAGATCAACACAGCAGGGGAAATGCTGACGAAGTAGAAAGCTGCTGCAACAAGAGGTCATACAGGTAGGAACAACAGTTCCACACTGCCCACCAGGTAGGCCTCGGCAAGGTAAAAGGTAAACACGAGCCTATTTTTACCCTACCTTTTACCCTTACCCCATACACATTACCCGATTACAGGGTCATTACTGGGGAACTACTACACATGACAAAGGTTTATAACGGTAAACGGCAGGTAGAGCGCTTTATACATATAGAATACTCTCGATGATTCCAATTTTACACGCTTGTTGTTGTCATTGTTGTCGTCGTTGTTGTCGTTGTCGTCTCCTCAAATCTTGTAACTAAATTTTAACCCACTTCCTAATGTGGTATCGACTGCAAACTTGGTATACTTATGTCATACTGATGACAACACTATATTCTATCATAAAAGACTTTTTTATATGTTATGTTTCGGCTTGGGTCTAATTGTCCACGGTCAACTGACGTTGGCTGTAAATCACCACGGTCCCTTACGTTGTGGTACGCTTCGGGGCCACTTCCTGGAGTCGTGGAGTTCTGTCATTACGAGTACATTTAATAAAAGCGTGTTTAAATAAAGTTTTAAAAATATTACTTATTAAATGGAGGCCACGGACTGCGCCACGGAGCTTTTAGTGGTAAACTAGGTACCGTATTTACCGGGTAATACTTCGAGCTACCTTTACCCTACCCTTTACCTTACCCCTTGGCATGTCGACACCTTTACCTTTACCCTTTTACCCGGTAAAAAGGGTAAATTACCTTACCTTTCCGAGGCCTAGCACCAGGGATTAAACTGGTCAACACACTTTTTCTGGCATAAGGTATTCCAACGGTTGTAAGGTAATTTTGGGGTGCTGATTCCAAATCTGGCATCAGTTTTTGTCTATCACATCAGGGTTTTGAGATATCAAATATTGCATTTTCAATAAAAACTGCAGAAGAAAAATATTAAATAAATATGGATATCTACACAAAATGATATTATAAACACATTATCCTAAAAATACAACACCATATTTTAACACTAAAGCAGTCACTGACTCGCAACAACTTGCAATCATAAGTGACAGAGTTAATTTCGGATAATATCAATGAAAATGGGGTATGCCGATAGCATAAAAATGAGATGTGATAGAGCAAATCTGAGATCAGATTTTGAATCAGCACCCTGAAATTAGTCTAAAACAGCTGCAAAAGTCCAGGACCAAAAAATGGGTTTTTTTATTGACCAATGCTATTTGTCTGTCGTGCATAGCCCCTCCTAAACATGTAATACGCTCCCGGATTGGTTGAAGTGCGTCACGTGGCCGCGAGCTTTCTGTAGTGCACGAATGCGCTGTCCAACCAAGTTCCTACCTGCCCACTCCGAAGGAACGTGTTATAAGGTAGGAGGCAAGTTGCTGATGCAGGCTGCTTCTAAAGGGTAGAAATGGGCATAGCCCAAGAGTCATAAACGACTGCTGAGCGTGAGACAAGGGGGAGATCGGAGGCAGGGGGAGAAAGGGGGGGGGGCATAGATAATCGGAGGCAGCGGGAGAGAGAGAAGCTGTGTTCGTGAATGTGACTCAGAGAGTCGAGAATAGCTGCTAACGGCAGGTAGGAAGGGGGGGGGGGGCATCACAGCCAGTTATGACCTAAACCGGTTAATAACATCCTTCCAATGATGCTCAGTTTATACCCATCTTCTCGGTTGAAATTGTGTTTATATATCTGGATGGCTTCATGGACAAATCTTTGGTGGTAGCCCGAAGGTTTGCAGAGTACCTTGGTCTCGGAAAAAAACAATATCGTGTGAGCCCACTGCGTTATAACAATGATCAGCCACGGCAGAGGTATTGGTTCTGCCGTGTTTCAAATCTGCCTTGTGTACGCGAACACGGTCCGAGACATGTCGCTTAGTTTCCCCAATGTAACTGCTGCCGCAGACACACCTTAGTTTGTAGACGCCAGGGTATTGCATGTCAGGAATCACATCCTTCACAGATGGGATCAAATCACGGATTGTGTGTACTGTGTTGAATCGAACCTGGATCTTCTTTGTTCAAGATTTTGGAAATCTTTTTGGTAACACCTGCTATGTATGGCAAGGTGATGTTTTGATTGGGTCCTCAGACGGTTCTCTCCCTATGGTTGGGGATTCAGCTTTGCGGATTTTGCGGTCTGAATATTCATTCATCTCGAGAGCCTGGTGTACGTGTTCAAGCTCACTGGCTCGGTGGTGGTCGGAGATGCAACGGGCCCTATGGTGTAGTGTTTTGATGAGGGAATTATTCTGGGCTGGATGATGGTGGGAATCAGGCTTTAGATAGGAATCCGTGTGGGTGGCTTTCCTGTAGACGGAATGTCCCAACGAGCCATCAGGTCTCTTTTCGATCAAAACATTCAGGAATGGTAGCTTGCCATAATTTTCCACTTCCATGGTCAATTTGATGGCTGGGTGTATGGAATTGATGTGGTTGAAAAATTGGTTCAGTGCTGGCTGGCCATGTGGCCAGATGACGAAAGTGTCATCCACGTATCTCTTCCACAAGGAAGGACGTAGGGTGGATGTCTGGATGGCATCTGTTTCAAATTTCTCCATGAAAACATTCGCTACCACTGGCGATAAGGGAGAACCCATAGGGGTGCCCTCATTTTGTTTGTAGAATGTACCATTCCCTGTGAAGTGTTGGTAAGGCAGTGCTTTACCAAACTTGGTACATCAGGATTCAGTCCCTGTTGGACCAAGTCTTCAATGATTGCAATGGTGCCAGGCACAGCTACCTTGGTGAACAGAGAGACGCCATCGAAACGGACAAGCAAATCATCTGGACAGTGAGATGTCCTTGATTAGAGAAACCAAGTGAGCTGAGTTAAGTACAGCGGAGGTAGTCTACCATTTAGAAGCAGCCTGCATCAGCTGCTTGCCTCCTTCGTTATAAAACCTCTTGTTGCAGCAGCTCTTTCTCCTTCATAATCAACGTTTTTGGGTTTAGATCGCGTTATTTATAAATGTGTCGTAACCCTCCACCACCCGACACGGCCAATCAGTAAAAAAAGTGTCACGTTGACAAAAGACAAATAGTTCACTGCTTTAGCCCACCGGTGTGTTGAAGCGTGAAACCACAACATTTACAATTTGAGTACGACGTTTCGCTGGTAATTGCATCCAGCATCATTGGGCAATTCGCCACACCGGCGGGCTAAAGCAGTGAACTATTTGTCTTTTGTCAACTTGACACTTTGTTTACTGATTGGCCGTGTCGGGTGGTGGAGGGTTACGGCACATTTATAAATAACGCGATCTAAACCCAAAAACGTTGATTATGAATATTGGTCGCGAAAGCCTGCTACGTGTTAATCTTTCTCCTTCGTCAGCAGTTCCCCTGCTGTGTTGATCGCACCTGATGACGGTTGCTTGCGTTGCGATCGAAACGCCGTGATCTATTATTGTTTCTAGACTTTCTACCGACGTGACTTGATAGTTTTAGTTTGGCGGCCTCGGCCAACTTCAGCAGGACGGGGCGTTGCTCCGCGTAGTCACAGCAACGATCGGCCCGCACGCGGAGACGCGGGTCGGCATTCGGACGCGCCGCGTGGCGGCTCGCAGACGCCCGACCCGACCGACTCGCTGGACCGACGACGACGACGCGGCAGGCAAAAGAGCGAGTCCACGAGGGCGGGGAGAAAACAACGACTTGTAGCTTTTATCATGAATTGCACTTGAATTGTGGTAATACAGAGAGGCATGGAAGCTTCCCCGACCCCTCATCCGCTGCCGGCATCGGCCCATTCCGCCGCACGACGCTCGGCGCGGTGGCGCGCGCCCCGGCTAAAGCGGCGTCGGCGACCGTGTGACGCCGCGCGGAGTACCCTGCAGAGTCTAACAATGAACACTTAGTCACTAACTTCCTGTACACGATGGTGTCGACGTCGGACCCCCCCCCCCCCACGGGTCCCAGGCGTTTGGCCGTCACTGCCGCGGTCACTCGAACCTGCGGCGGTGACGGGGGAACCGGGGCGCGGTCACGCGCGGCAGCCCGTGGCGAGCGGGTGAGCTGCCCCGCGCGGGGCTCGCCGGGGGGGGGGGGGGGGCCTCGTCTCTGCGGACGCCGTGGCCTCGGTCGCGACGTTCCAGCGCGGGCGCTTGCCCGACGCGAATAATCGCGGCGGCGGCGGCCGCGGTAAATTAAACAACAAAAAACGAGAATAGATTGAGGAGGTTGTTTACACGCGGCTGGGTAACCGGGCGTGGGTTTGGTTGTGAAGGCACGATCGCTGGGAGGTATTTTATATATTTAGATTTTTTTTGTCCTCTGAGATAAAGCTTTCGGGGGGGGGGGGGGGGAAGATCAGAAAACAAAACAACGGAACTAAAACAACCCCCCCCCTGCCCCCGCCAAAATAAAAGTGAAACGCCGAGAGAGGTCGCGCTGCTTAGTCGCTCGCTCGCCCGCAGCCGGTGCGCGTGCCGCCAGCCTTGCCTAGACCACCAGCTCACGGGAGCTCAACGCGTGGCCGTCCAGCGTCGTTCAGAGTACGAGACACCTAAGTTCTATATCTTACACAACAACAACAATCATTGTCATCATCCGCTATATATTTATCTTCTTGGTTATGCTTCTTATTTTAAATCTTTTTTTACATTACCAATCGAAGGTATCATTCTTGTTGTAAAAATGTATCTGGCCTTTACAAACGGCACCCCCCCCCACCCCCCCGCCCTGTAAAATGATTCTCGCGCTGCGTCGACCGACAGCTCCAAACTCTACGACCATTTTAAAACGAACGCTTTTACACCACCACCACCACCACCACAACTAGAGTCAGCGCAGTGCGCGCGGGAGGGAGGGAGGAACGGGTGTCGGGAATGGACGGCCGATCCCAGGCAGTGGATTGATATTTGACTTCACGCCCAGCGATGAGATTCGGCTGTACACATTTTTGCTTGTCTAACCTCGGAAACTTCGCCACCATTTTGGGCATTTCGCAAACGGCGGCGTCTTCTTTCCGACGGCGTCGTCGCCGGCGATGCCGTGCGACGACGCTTCTGGCGGGGGGCCCTGCTAAGATTTCGCAGTCGGGGAGGCGATGATGTGGCTGCTGCTGTGTGCGAGATCCTAGCCGAGTCATTTGCGGGTAATTTTTGCAGCACTGCGAGATTTGTTTGGCCAATAGCGGTTACACCGTTGCGGTTCCAACTAAATAGATTTCCGTAGCTCAGAGTGGACGCCGGTTCAAGCTCGCGGCTCAACACAGTCCACCACGCCCCGTCTCCGCACCGCGCGAGCAGCCACACACAGCGGTCGCAGCAGCAGCAGCAGTAGCGGCAGCAGCGCCCATCGATTCAAGTTTCATCGCGAAAACGCAGACAGTGATTCCGACGTCGCAGCGCGCACGCGGGGGGAGGGGGGGGGGCTCGCTTCGTAACCGCGCGGTAATCGGACTTCGTGAGCCCACGTCGCCGTCGAACCTTCCGGGGTTAGGGACGCGTGACGACGTGGACCCTCGTATGACGACGTGGACCCACGTGTGACGTGGACCCACGTGACGACGTGGACCCACGCGTGTCGTCAAATCGCCGACTAACGGATCGCTCGAAGAGCTTCGTCGCCTACACGGTCGTCAAGAGTCTCGATCTGTGGAGGGGGGGGGGTGGTGGAGACGACAGCTCTCGTGCACACAGCGGGAGGGAGAGACTCGGGGTGGCTCCTCCACAGACGGGGGGTCCACACGCCCGCCCCCACGAGGAGCGCAAACCGAGTCGCTCGCGGAACCGCGCGGCTCAAAATCCGCGCCGCGCCCACTGCTCCGTCCGCCCGCCCGGCGCACGCAAACAAGGACGGTTGCATAAAACATCCAAAGTACAAACGAACCAATCCACCGGCTCCTATTTACATGGTTGGGTTCATCACGGGGACATTTCTCACTTCAGGTTTGTCCGCAATAGGCCACGGATCTGTTTAGCGGCGGCGGCGGCGGCAGGAGCAGCAGCAGCAGCTGGCGCTCCTGGGGGTCACCTCGTGGGGGACCCCTGACATCCGTTTCTCTTGTGCCCACCGGACCCCGCCCGACCACATCCGGACCTTCGGTTTCACTCGTCGCCAAGTCGCGGAGCGGCGGTCGCGAACCGTCACTCGCTAAAATAAAAACGAGTTGCTAAAATGAGATCCGAGGCCTGGTCTGGCACCGACCACTTTGTGCACTCCTCACGGCACGACGCTTCGGCGCGCCGCGCGGTCAAACAAACCCGCGCGGCTGGTAAACGTCGTCAGCAGCAGCATCAACAAACAAAAAACAACAACAAACAACAACAACAACAAACACCGCCACGAGTCATCATTTACAGGCGTGGAGGTTGTGCAGCGATGGAACCGAGTGGCTGAGGAAAGGAGAGAGGGGAGGGGCGCCTCAGTGTGGGAGTGACGTTCTGTGGGCAACAGCTGGGATGGCAGGGGGGGGTGGTAGACACTGGGAGGCTGCATCGACCAAACGTCCCCACACCCCCCCCACCAGCAGTTCAGGTGGGGGGCTAAGTCTAAGTAGCACGGAGGGAGAGGAGGGAGGGAGGAAGGGAGGGAGGGAGGGAGGGAGGGAGGGAGGGAGGGAGGGAGGGAGGGAGGGAGGGAGGGAGGGAGGGCTTTACGAGGGGGCGGGGGGCACGTTGAGGTAGAGAACGGGGAGATGATGGGGGGAGGGGCTGGGTAGGTGACGTAATACTTCCCTTTGAGGGGGGCTAGGGTGTGGAGTGTGCGTGTTTCTTCATGTGTGCGTGTGTGCGCGTGTGTGTGTGTACGCGTGTCTATGCATGTTTGTGTACGTGTATGCGTGTGTACGTGTGTGTGCGTGCGTGTATGTGCGTTCACGTGTGTTCGCGTGTGCGTATTTGTGTGTTCGTGTGCATGTGCGTGCGTGTGCATGTGCGTGCGTGCACGTGCGTGCGTGTGCATGCATGTGCGTGCGTGTGCGTGCGTGCATGTGCGTGCGTGTGCATGCATGTGCGTGTGCGTGTGCGTGCATGTGCGTGCGGCCCGCCCGATGGCTTGCCCCGTTACGACTGTGGCAACGGCGCCGCGAGCCACTTGGGCAACAACCGTGTCGACATCGAGAGAGAGGGGCGACCGGAACACGCAACGACTATTTACAATTCACGCTGCACGAGGGACGGGGGCGGGGGGGGAGAGAGACAGCGGTGGCGACGGACGCGCCCGAAGGGCGAGGGGGGCGGCTCGCCCCGACGCACTCCGCCACCTCGGGGCAAGAATCGATTCCCCGGGCCGACGATTGACGATTGACGAGAGCGACATACGTTTGGGCCGGTGGCCACAGCGGGCCCGGCGTGCAACGTTCCGGCCCCCCCCCCTACCCACGGGTCCAGGTGGCGTCTACAGCCGACGAGAGCGATCGCTTTGCCGGGCTCGGCGGCCGCGAGGACGTCGCCCCCCCCCCCAATCGCCGCCAAAGACGAGGAGCCCCGGGGGGACGCGCTCACCGTCGCGGCGACGCCCGGCACCGCCGCGCTCTCACGTAGGCACCGTGCGCGGCGGTCGGCACTGCCGCGCCCCGGCGTGGTGATGCGCACCCCCTCCCAGCTCTCCCTTGCGTCACCGTCGCCGCCGCCGTCGTCGTCGTCAGCTCGCCGGGCCCCGTCACACTCGAGGAGTGCCGGTGCCGCGCCAGCGGTGCCAACCACCGCGGCGGCGGCGTGGGGCAGACGGACGCCGCTCAAGAGTCCGGTGCCGGGTCCCATGCCCCCCCCCCCCCCCCGTGTCTCACCGCCGCCCCCGGCGACGCTCGTCGGCGCTGCGCTCGCGAACCGCCGCGGGAGACGCGACCGGCGCCACGGTCTGGTCGGGGGGGTGAGAGACCCTCCCCCCGTAGCGCCGCCGGGCGCCGGTGGAGCAGCCGGCGATGACGGAGGGGGGGGGGGGGGCAATCTGTCCGGCGGTGACGCCGCGTGCCGGAGGTCGCCGGAGGTCACCGCAGGTCGCCGGAGGTCACGCGGGGTTAAGGCCACGGTTGGCGTCGACCGATCCGCTCAGATTTCATCCTGATCCAAGCAGACCTGGGGTGAGGGGGTGAGGGTGAGGGAGGGTGAGGGAGTGCGGGTGAGTGAGTGAGGGTGAGTGAGGGTGAGTGAGGGAGTGTGCAGGGAGACTGTGACCACAGCGGTGCTCAGCAGCTGGCCGTGTGTGTGTGTGCCTCTCTCTGCGTAGTGGTAGTAGTGGTAGTAGTTGTAGTAGTTGTAGTGGTAGTATTATTATCCACAGTGGGGAGCTGCGGTCGTGTCGTGGTGAGCGTGCGCACCTTGACAAAGGCGTGGTCTAGCAGCTGTGTGTGTGTGTGTGTGCCTCTCTCTGCGTAGTGGTAGTAGTTGTAGTAGTATGATTATCCACAGTGGTGAGCGTGCGCACCTTGACAAAGGCGTGGTCTAGCAGCTGTGTGTGTGTGTGCCTCTGTCTGCGTAGTGGTAGTAGTAGTTGTAGTAGTATGATTATCTACAGTGGTGAGTGTGCGCACCTTGACAAAGGCGTGGTCCAGCAGCTGGCTGTGTGTGTGTGTGCCTCTGTCTGCGTAGTGGTAGTAGTTGTAGTAGTATGATTATCCACAGTGGTGAGCGTGCGCACCTTGACAAAGGCGTGGTCCAGCAGCTGTGTGTGTGTGTGTGCCTCTCTCTGCGTAGTGGTAGTAGTAGTTGTAGTAGTATGATTATCCACAGTGGTGAGTGTGCGCACCTTGACAAAGGCGTGGTCCAGCAGCTGTGTGTGTGTGTGCCTCTGTCTGCGTAGTGGTAGTAGTAGTTGTAGTAGTATGATTATCCACAGTGGTGAGTGTGCGCACCTTGACAAAGGCGTGGTCCAGCAGCTGGCTGGCCGTGCAGCGGTCGCTGGGCTCGCTCTCGAGGCAGAGAGCCAGGAAGTCGCGCCCCTCGGGGCTCAGCCGCTCGGGCAGCGGCGGCTTGTGGCCCATGCCCACGCGGTACATGATCTGGAAGTTGTGCTCGTACTCGTGCCAAGGCCGCTGCGCACACACGCACACAGACGCACACACACACACACGCGCACACACGCACGCACACACATACGCACACACACACGCACACACACACGCGCACACACACGCACGCGCACACACACGCACACACACACGCACACCCACACGCACACACGCACGCACACACACACGCACACACACGCAAGCACACACACACCGCATCGTCCAACGTCGTCACCACCATCCGTCATGGCATCATCGTCATCCCTTCCTTCACCTCATTCCGTGCCTCGCTCAAAGCCTCACCCCTTCTCCGTTGCCCATGCATTCAACACTGCACCATGGACTCAACTCTACACATAGACTCAACACTGCACCATAGACTCAACACGACCCATAGACTCAACGCTGCCCATAGACTCAACACGACCCATAGACTCAACGCTGCCCATAGACTCAACACTGCACCATAGACTCAACACGACCCATAGACTCAACGCTGCACATAGACTCAAGACTGCACCATAGACTCAACACGACCCATAGACTCAACACTGCACCATAGACTCAACACGACCCATAGACTCAACACTGCACCATAGACTCAACACGACCCATAGACTCAACGCTGAACATAGACTCAACACTGCACCATAGACTCAACACGACCCATAGACTCAACGCTGCACATAGACTCAACACTGCACCATAGACTCAACACGACCCATAGACTCAACACTGCACATAGACTCAACACTGCACCATAGACTCAACACGACCCATAGACTCAACGCTGCCCATAGACTCAACACTGCACATAGACTCAACACTGCACCATAGACTCAACATGACCCATAGACTCAACGCTGCCCATAGACTCAACACGACCCATAGACTCAACACTGCCCATAGACTCAACACTACACCATAGACTCAACACTGCACCATAGACTCAACGCTGCCCATAGACTCAACACGACCAATAGACTCAACACTGCACCATAGACTCAACACTGCACCATAGACTCAACACTGCTCATAGACTAAAAATTTCCCATAGACTCAACACTGCCCATAGACTCAACGCTGCCCATAGACGCAACACTGCCCATAGACTCAACACTGCCCGTAGACTCAACACTACACCATAGACTCAACACTGCACCATAGACTCAACACTGCACCATAGACTCAACGCTGCCTGTAGACTCAACACTACACCATAGACTCAACACTGCACCATAGACTCAATGCTGCCCATAGACTCAACACTACCCATAGACTCAACACTGCCCATAGACTCAACACTACCCATAGACTCAACACTGCCCATAGACTCAACACTGCACCATAGACTCAACACTGCCCATAGACTCAACACTACCCATAGACTCAACACTGCCCATAGACTCAACACTACCCATAGACTCAACACTGCCCATAGACTCAACACTACCCATAGACTCAACACTACCCATAGACTCAACACTGCACCATAGACTCAACACTGCCCATAGACTCAACACTGCCCATAGACTCAACACTACCCATAGACTCAACACTGCCCACAGACTCAACACTGCCCATAGACTCAACACTACCCATAGACTCAACACTGCCCACAGACTCAACACTGCCCATAGACTCAACACTGCACCATAGACTCAACACTGCACCACAGACTCAACACTGCCCATAGACTCAACACTACACCATAGACTCAACACTACCCATAGACTCAACACTGCACCATAGACTCAACACTGTCCATAGACTCAACACTGCACCATAGACTCAACACTGCACCACAGACTCAACACTGCACCACAGACTAAACAATACCCGTAGACTCAACGCTGCCCATGGACTCAACGCTGCTCATAGACTCAACATTTCCCATAGACTCAATACTGACCATATACTCAACACTGCACCATAGACTCAACACTGCTCATAGACTAAAAATTTCCCATAGACTCAACACTGCCCATAGACTCAACGCTGCCCATAGACGCAACACTGCCCATAGACTTAACACTGCCCATAGACTCAACACTGCACCATATACTCAACACTGCCCATAGACTCAACACTGCCCATAGATTTCGATTTAAAGCTTTCGTGACTGCAGGAATTCATCTTCTTGGTTCTTTCGGTAAAGTCACGTAGAAGGGAAGTAATAAAATAATAAAAATAAAACATAATAAAACTCTTACTTCCCTTCTACGTGACTTTACCGAAAGAACCAAGAAGATGAACTGCCCATAGACTCAACACTGCCCATAGACTCAACACTATCCATAGACTCAACACTATCCATAGACTCAACACTGCACCATAGACTCAACACTGCCCATAGACTCAGCACTGCACCATAGACTCAACACTGCCCATAGACTCAACACTATCCATAGACTCAACACTATCCATAGACTCAAAGTTTCCCATAGACTCAACGCTGCCCACACATTTATATATTTACGCGATCTAACCCAAAAAAACCTGTATTATGGACACTAAGGTATTTTCGGACAATTAATGTTTAACATGTGGGAGAAAACCTACACATACGAGGGGCAAACAATGGATCCCGTGCAGACGGAGCAGGTGGAGGCCACATTTCCCCTGTACTGGCTTCTCCTGTTACAGCCGACGACTGCGTGCTAAACTGACACCTCAAAACCTCGCCGATCTCGTCACGCAGCATGAACCGTCGTCACGCAAACTCGTGATGATGGCTTCTGGCGGCAGCTTTTGCCTCGGCCATCGAATCAAGACGGCCACCACATCGCGTACTTTCAGATGCACTTCTGCGGCCGTCTGGAACGCTCTCCCTTCCCATATCAGGAAGCTACTCAAGCTACGCACTTTTACATCATCATCGAGGTTGACAAAAAAATTTCTTTAAAACTGCTTTTTGTCTTTAGTTTGTTGTCCTTCCCCCCGCACCTCCGTACACACACCAGAGGTCGCAAACGGGTTTTGATTCCTTACCCGGCTACCCGTACCCGGCCGCACCAGGGTCGCAAACGGGTAGCCGGGTATCGGGTAGGGTACGGGTATCGGGTACCCGATTGCGACCTCTGACACGCACGCAACGGGGAGACACACGGCCGGGCGAGGCGCTGGCCGTCGACCCGCTCACATCCGCACTTGTCCCCGACCGCTGTGCGCGTAGGCCGCCACTTAGGCCGCCACGTAGGCCGCCACGTAGGCCGCCACGTAGGCCGCCACGTAGGCCGCCACGTAGGCCGCCACGTAGGCCGCGTAGGCCGACGCGGGGGACCTGGTCGCCGTCGTCTCGGCCTCACCTTCCCTGTCGCCATCTCGATGAGGACGCAGCCCAGGCTCCAGATGTCGGCCGCCCGGCCGTGCCCTTCGCCCCGTGCCCGCGTGATCACTTCTGGGGCCATGTACGCTGCACAAGGAGCAAAGATCCCCCGTTTAGCCATTAACAGACTGTCGGGGCAAGCGCTGTTCGCGAGTAGCAACGGTGAAGGCCGGCACGGCACACGAGGGGGCGGGTGGCCAACACCAAGTCCGGCCGCCTTTGTCTCCTCAGTGGCGATGCTTACGCACCGTAGCAGGTACGTAGCAGGTCCCCAATGATCGTCGGCTGGTGTTGGCCGTGAGCGGGAATCGGAACTCGGGGCGCCGAGTTCGTAGCGCGGCGCTAATCGCCACGCTACACGCACACGGCAGCAGCAGCGTCGTCATCATCAGCATCATCAGCCGTGGTCTCTCCACTGCTGGATGAAGGCCTCACCCCCCCCCCCCTCGCCCACTGCTCCGTACGGATGGCGGACGTCGTTTCTGGCGAACGCCCTCCTTCAACTGCCACTCCGTCTCAAGCCTCGATGTGCGGTCTCTCAATGCCATGTACCGTGTTGCGTTGCTGCGCCCTGATTCTGCCCATGCGTGCGTGTATGTATGTGTGCGTGTGGCACAAGCGTCGTGGTGACGTCACCGCCACTTAGTGGCGAATGGCGGTTGTTGTTGTTGTTGTTATGTATGTATGTGTGCGTGCGTACGTGTGTGTGCGTGTATGCATGCGTGCATGTATGTATGTGTGCGTGCGTACGTGTGTGTGCGTGTATGTATGTGTGCGTGCGTGAATGTATGTGTGCGTGTGTGCGTGCGCCGGGGTGACCCATCCCCGTGGTTTGACGGGCGCCGCCGATCGGCGGCCGTCGTTGTGGTCGCCCGCTCACCGGCTGTGCCGAGCGTGCTGTTCACCTCCCCGGGCATGGTCTGCGAGATGTTCTTCAGCTTCACCGAGCACCCAAAGTCTCCCAGCTTGATGTGCCCCGTCGACGTCAGGAAGATGTTCGCTCCTAGCGACGGAGGGGGAATGAAAAAAAAATAAAGACATCCGGCGCTCAGCTGCACGGTAAAGAAAGACAAAGGCGCAGCCCTTGCAAGTGCTCGCTCACACCGCTGCCGCCGGAAGGGGCCTCCGGGAAAGGAGCGCCAGCGAGAGCCCCCCGCCGAGAGAGGGCGACTCTCTCTTGTTGGTCAGGTGCTTTGAGGAGGTGCCAGCGATTAAAACGATAAAATATATATAAGTAAATATATAAACTATTTTGTATTTTGCCAGGTCAGGGCCCCGCTGAGCTGTGCAGCTCTTTCAGAAGCGACGTGGCCACCACAAATGACAGCTCAACGAAGTGGACAATTTCAGCATCGTCATCGTAGAAACTTATAGCAGCATCCAAATACTCTAAACGCGTGCGATGTCGCGCTGGAATGATGTCACAACGGCGTCTGAATGATGTCACAACGACGGTGGCGGCTTGCGCTACCCTTGATGTCGCGGTGCACGATGCCGCGCTCATGCAGCTCCGTGATGGCCGTGCAGATCTGCTTGGTGTAGTGGCGGATGACGGGCTCCTGCAGGCCCAGGCGGGACACCTCCTCCAGCGTGCCCTCGTCGCAGTACTCCATGAAGATGTACATCTCCTCCTGCGCGCAGAGGCAAGACGCGGCGAGCGGTGAGCGCAGAGAAACACGTGGAGATAAACGGAGCTATGCACAGAGAGATGGACGCAGATATATATACACACACACGGCAATGTCCACCCACTATTGTCGCTCAACATTGTCCACCCAGCATTGTCCACCCAGCAGAGGTGCGTGGACCCACCCGGTGGAGCTCCACGCCGTAGTAGCGGACCAGGTTGGAGTGGTTGATGCCTTCGAAGATCTTGATCTCGTCCGCCGTCTCCTTGATGGTCTTGTGGTCGTTGGGCTGAAACCGAATCTACGGGGCCAGCGAGAACGCACGCACACACGCACACGCGCGCACGCATTCACACAAAGACAAAGATCCACCGTGTAACCTCAGCAGGCTGTTGGGGCAAGCCCTGTTAGCGAGCACCTACGAAGGATGGCACGGCACATGAGGGGGTGGGTGGCCAGCACCACGCCCGGCCGCCTTTGTCTCCCGAGTGGCGATGTTTACTACACACCGTACCAGGTACTCATTTGAGGCTGAGTCGACCTAGGGGAAGCCCATTATCAGTTCGGATAATCGTCACTGGTGTTGGGTGTGAGCGGGAATCGAACTCGGGCCGCCGGGTTCGTAGCGCAGCGCTCCGACCGCTACACCGCCGCTCCCCACGTGTGAGTACGTGCATCATCGGAACGGAACTAAAATAAAATGACTTTATCGGTACCGAGGCTCCCACAAGGCCACGCGGGAGGGCGCCGGGCACAGTTTGTTGCCGGCCACCGGAGTGGCGGCGGCAGTCGTGTCGCTTCGGTTTTCCGCGGCGAGTAACGATGTCTTTAAAAACAAGCGGCGCTGCTGCTGCTGCTGCCGCGCCTCTCGAAATAGAACGAACGCCGAGCTGCTAGCGCGCTCCGAGATTCGGCGGTGAACGCGATCCAAAACCTGCACACTTTGCAGGCGTCGTCCGAACGGGAAAGGATTTAAAAAGGTCGTCACGGCGCACGATGGGAAGGCGGGGAGAGCACCACGCCCCGCCGCCACCACCTGTGTCTCACAAGTGCTGATGTTTACTTGCGCACCACGGTAGACAATTAATTTGGGGCCGAGTCGACCTAGGGGAAGCCCTCGACTGGTTCAGATAATACAGCGTGTTTCAAAAAGATGGACTCAATTTCAAAGCAGTATATTCACGATGGCAACATGTTACAATTACACAAAAAGTTACAAACGGTTTAATGAGCTATCAAGTTTTACTAACCATTTTATAAATGCTCTATGTGCCCTCCACCTGCTGTACGGACAACATCGAGACGATAGTGGAATTCGTCCCAAACGCCTCTCTTCTCACGTTTCCCTCTGAGGTGCGTGGTCGCCCCGTGCTCTTCCCCTTACATCAACAGCAGCCTGCTTCCTCAAATTGTCGGTACCAACGACGAATGCTCGTTGACATTGGCGGATCGATGCCACAACGCCGTTGAAACGCACGCTGCACTGCAATTACGGATTCAGTCTCGCCGAACTGCAGAACGCAAAACGCCCCTTGTGTGTTGCGGGGTCACCACCTCGCGAATGACTGAGGCTAGGGGCTGTTTGTGCACTGGGAGAGGCATCGAGCGGTGATCATTTGAAACTCTAAGCACCGCCCTCTCTATGCCCCTCCCTCTCTATGCCCCTCCCTCTCTATGCCCCGCCCTTTCTATGCCCCTCCCTCTCTATGCCCCTCCCTCTCTATGCCCCTCCCTCTCTATGCCCCTCCCTCTCTATGCCCCTCCCTCTCTATGCCCTGCCCTCTCTATGCCCCGCCCTCTCTATGCCCCTCCCTCTCTATGCCCCTCCCTCTCTATACCCCTCCCTCTCTATACCCCGCCCTCTCTATGCCCCTCCCTCTCTATGCCCCTCCCTCTCTATGCCCCTCCCTCTCTATGCCCCTCCCTCTCTATGCCCCGCCCTCTCTATGCCCCGCCCTCTCTATGCCCCGCCCTCTCTATGCCCCGCCCTCTCTATGCCCCTCCCTCTCTATACCCCGCCCTCTCTATGCCCCGCCCTCTCTATGCCCCTCCCTCTCTATGCCCCTCCCTCTCTATACCCCTCCCTCTCTATGCCCCTCCCTCTCTATGCTCCTCCCTCTCTATGCCCCGCCCTCTCTATGCCCCTCCCTCTCTATGCCCCTCCCTCTCTATGCCCCGCCCTCTCTATGCCCCTCCCTCTCTATGCCCCTCCCTCTCTATGCCCCTCCCTCTCTATGCCCCTCCCTCTCTATGCCCCTCCCTCTCTATGCCCCGCCCTCTCTATGCCCCGCCCTCTCTATGCCCCTCCCTCTCTATGCCCCTCCCTCTCTATGCCCCGCCCTCTCTATGCCCCTCCCTCTCTATGCCCCTCCCTCTCTATACCCCTCCCTCTCTATGCCCCTCCCTCTCTATGCCCCTCCCTCTCTATGCCCCGCCCTCTCTATGCCCCGCCCTCTCTATGCCCCGCCCTCTCTATGCCCCGCCCTCTCTATGCCCCTCCCTCTCTATGCCCCTCCCTCTCTATGCCCCGCCCTCTCTATGCCCCGCCCTTTCAAGTGGCAAGAGTTTCATTCATGAGCGGTTCGTGGCTGCAGAGATAGAGCGATTTCAAATCGGGTCCATCGCTTTGAAACACCCTGTATTGTCGCCGACGTCGCTCCGCAAGCGGGAATCGAACTCGGGCCGCCGGGTTCGCAGCGCCAACCGCGGCACCGCTCGCTCGGCGAAGCCACAGCGGCCGCGTCCGTGCCGTGGGCCCGTGCCGCCGGCGAGGGAGTCTGCGGCGCTTCGTGCGACGGCCTCCAGGTGCACCTAGCCTGGCACACGCGCACTGGCGGCTGCCCTCTGTGCCGCTGTCGTTACCTCCTTCATGGCCATGAGTTCTCCTGTGTCCACGTTGACGCACGTGTACACCTTTCCGTACTGCCCCTCACCTAGAGATGCACGCACACAGGTACGCACGCGCATAAAGACAAAGTTCCCCCGTATAGCTTTACCAGACTATTAGGGCAAGTGCTGTTAGCGAGCAGGCCCGAAGGCCGGCACGGCACACGAACGCGTGGGTGGCCAGCGCCACGCCCGGCCGCCTTTGTCTTTCCAGTGCTGATGTTTACACACCGCACCAGGTACTCATTTAAGGCTGAGTCCACCTAGAGAAAGCCCCGGACCGGTTCAGATAATCGTCACCGGTGTTGGTGGCCGTGAGCGGCAATCGAACTCGGCTCGCCGGGTCTGTGGCTCAGCGGAGCGGTAACCACTGCGCCACCGCTCCCCTACACGGCCAACCACAGGCGCACGCAAACACACAGGGGAAGGGTGGGCGGAGGGAGGAGGGGGAAGGAGGGGGGAGGAGGGAGGGGGTAGGAGGGAGGGTGGCATCCCTCACCGATCTTGTTGCCCCTCTGCCATTTGAAGGTGACCTTGCGGAGGCCCACGTGCATGAGGTTGTTGATGGCGTGCGGCGTGCTGCACACGCGGCCCACCACGCGGCGTCGCTGGCTCTGCGCGTCCAGCTTCTGCTCGAAGCGCGCCATCGCCTTGCGCACGCGCTCCATGCGCCCGCAACGCGAGCTCTCCTCTGCACACGCACATGAACGCACACACATAAACGCACACGCACATGAACGCACATGCACACGCACACAGCAGTGTTACGAACAAAGATTCTCGCCCCACCTCCTATAGCCTGAACAGACTGTTGGAGCAAGTGCTGTGAGCGAGTAGCAGCACCTACGAAGGCCGGCAGGGCAAACGAGGGGGTGGGTGGCCAGCACCACGCCCGGCCGCCTTTATCTCTCCTGTGGCGATGTTTACTACACACCGTGCCGACCTACGCTCCCCCCAAGATCGATTCAGACAACAGTCACCGTTGTTGGTGTTGGCCGTAAGCGGGAATCGAGCTCGGGTGGTCGGTTTTGTGGTGCAGCGCGCTAACCGCTCCACCATCGCTCCCCCCCCCCCCCCCGTGTAGCCTTAACAGACTGTAGGAGCTCCCCCCTCGACACGCGCACGCACGCGCAGACCGGCGAGTATAGGGGGGGAGTACGCGCGGACAGGCACGCGCAACATTACAAGCGCACACGTGCAGACCGCCGTGCTTGCGCACGCGGGCTGGCGCGCGAGCGCCGGTGCTGACCGCGAGGGCCCTGACCTTTGGCCTCGTTGACGAAGCCCGTCAGCTCCCAGCTGCGGCGCACGGGGGTGGACGTGGCCACGACGAGCGGCTCCCCCCGCGGGAAACTCGGCTCTGGGTGGAGACAACAGTGGGAGACACGGGGAGACACGGGGAGACGCGGGGAGACGCGGGGAGACACGGGGAAACGCGGGGAGACGCGGGGAGACGCGGGGAGACATGGGGAGACGCGGGGAGACGCGGGGAGACGCGGGGAGACGTAGGGAGACACGGGGAGACGCGGGAAGACGCGGGGAGACGCGGGGAGACGCAAGGGAGACGCGGGGGGAGACACAAGGGGAACACGGGGAGACGCGGGGAGACACGGGGGAGACGCGGGGGACAGGGGGGACACGGGGGAGACGCGGGGAAACGCGGGGGGGGGGGGGGGGATTGAGAACAGAGACAGTGGAGAGGAGGGAACAGGAGAGACAGGGTTACAATTCAACTCAAGAATCAATTCTTCGCTTATTCATTTAGCATTGTGCCGATGTAGTGGTAGCGACCTCTAGTGGCTGGAGGAGGGGGTAATCACGTGCACTCGTTAGGTGCGATGCTCACAGGACCGAGAGCCGACGGTCATCAACGAATCGACGCCTCGAGGCACACCACGTCCAGTATGCCCTCCCGCGATGGCCACCTCGCCTGGCGTGCAGGAGATGTCAACTACCTCGCCTGGTCTACAGGAGGTCGTGGGTTCGATCCCGACCCTGATGAGATGTTAACTACCTCGCCTGGTCTACAGGAGGTCGTGGGTTCGATCCCGACCCTGATGAGATGTTAACTACCTCGCCTGGTGTGCAGGAGGTCGTGGGTTCGATTCTCACCCTGACGCCTGCTGCTGTATTTAGAGTTTGCGTGTCTCTCTCTCTCTCCCCGTGGTCGCGTGGATTTTTCTCAGGGTACTCCGGTTTTTGCCTCCACATTTAAAATCAACGACACCACGCGTTTAAGAGTATTTGACTGCTGCTATGCATTTCCACGTGGTGATGATGATGATGAGCCCACTTCGTTAAGCTATCATTCGTGATGGCCTGGTCGCTTCTGAAAAGATCTACATAGCTCAGTGGGCCTTACCTGGTCAAATAAAAGTTTTTTTTCAGTCACGGTGCAGCCTACCAGCGACCGGAGGAGATGTAATCAGATATAATAATACTTCAGATATAATAATACAAATAATGATGACATCAACTTGTAACGCGACGCCGCTACCGCCACGCCGTGGTCACTCACTGTCAGAGAGAGACATCTCACAGACCAGCAGAGAGAGATATCCCACGGACCAGCAGAGAGAGACATCTCACGGACAAGCAGAGAAAATGTGCGGCATCCAAATGTCCTCTAAAACGCGTGACGTCGATTCGAAATGTGGTTGGAAAAATCGGGAGGACCCGGAGAAAAATCCACGGGACCATATTAAGGCGTTATCGGCCAATAATCATCGAGTGCCTGGGAGGAAACCGGAGCACCCGGAGAAAACGCTCAATCCCACACAGACAGAGTCCACAAGGGAGGCAGAGATTCACAACATCATCTGCGTGCGATCCACCAGCCCTCGCTGCTGCCTCCACAGTGCTGGATGCTTACAGACAGCCACGTGCAGCAGCGTAGGCACCATCACCACCACCGCCACCACCGCCACCACCACCACCACCGCCACCACCACCACCACCGCCACCGCCGCCACCATCACCACCACCACCGCCGCCACCACCGCCGCCACCGCCACCGCCACCGACGCCACCACCACCACCGCCGCCGCCACCACCACCACCACCACCGCCACCACCACCACCACCACCGCCACCACCGCCACCACCACCACCACCACCACCGCCGCCGCCGCCGCCACCATCACCACCACCACCGCCGCCACCACCACCGACGCCACCACCACTACCGCTGCCGCCACCACCACCACCACCACCGCCACCACCACTACCACCACCGCCGCCGCCGCCGCCGCCACCATCACCACCACCACCGCCGCCACCACCACCGACGCCACCACCACCACCGCCGCCGCCACCACCGCCGCCGCCACCACCACCACCGTCACCACCACCGCCGTCACCACCACCACCACCGCCACCACCACCACCGCCACCACCACCGCCGCCACCGCCGCCACCACCACCACCACCACCACCGCTACTCGGCTTGATCGATGGAAACCCTGGCTGGGCCCTAACCGGGCACAGCCCTGACTAAGCGTGGCTCGGACATCACCCCCCACCACCCCCCACCACCCCCTGCCACCCCCACCCCCACGCCCCCCCCCCCCCCCGCCACCCCCCCCCCTCACCTTCGCGCTCCTCCGTGGGGCTGGAGTGGCGGCTCAGCGACTTGAAGGGCTCGCAGCTGAGGGAGGAGAGGCGGTCGCCCTCCGACAGGCTCAGCACCCTGGGGCACGCGGCACGCACAACGTCACGGTCGCCACACTACCGGCCCTCGTGTCTCTGTACGCACCCCTACGTGTTCACGCGGGTCTCTATGTGTCTCTGTGTATTTGTGGGTCTCTACGTATCTCTGTGTGTTCACGTGGGTCTCTATGTGTCTCTGTGTATTCATGTGAGTCTCTACTTATCTATGTATTTCTATGGGTCTCTACGTATCACTATGTATTCATGTGGGTCTCTATGTGTCTCTTTGAGTCTCTGTGTCTCTCTGCATCTACTGCATGGCCCACGGTTTTGGATGCACGGTCACCACTGCGGCTTGTCTTTAACGTATCTCCATGGGTCTCTACGTGTCTCTATGCATCTCTAAGGGTCTCCATGCATCTCTATGCATATGTACGTGTCCCTGTGGGTTCACTACATGGCCCACACTTTGGGTTGCACGGCTAAAATTGTCTTTCATGTATCTCCATGTATTTAGAAGGGTCTCTACATAGCTCTGCATCTCTTTGAATCCCCATGGGTTCTACTACACTGTGACTTGCGTCTTTATCATGCTCCGATGCCGTTGAGGGTCACACCGGCCGTCTGCTACGAATGCCAAAGCCAGGAGATGAGCGAGGTATGGGTCTCGAATGTGGCGCCTCCTATTCTGGAGAGGGGGATCGGGTTGGATACCTGATCGGGTCCTGGCTGGAAGAGATGGGCACCGAGACGCTGAACACGGGCGGGTCGCTGTGACAGCGCGGCACGCTGATGGGGCGTGGGCTGTTCCTGTGGATCGCTGGCACGGGGAAACACACGGGGTAGAAATGGGGTAGACACGGGTAGACACGGGGTAGACACGGGGTAGACACGGGGTAGACACGGGGTAGACATGGGTAGACACGGGGTAGACACGGGGTAGACACGGGGTAGACACGGGGTAGACACGGGGTAGACACGGGTAGACACGGGGTAGACACGGGGTAGACACGTGGTAGACACGTGGTAGACACGGGGCAAACACGGGGCAGACACGGGGTAGACACGGGGTAGACACGGGGTAGACACGGGGCAGACACGGGGCAGACACGGGGCAGACACGGGGCAGACACGGGGCAGACACGGGGTAGACACGGGGCAGACACGGGGTAGACACGGGGCAGACACGGGGCAGACACGGGGTAGACACGGGGTAGACACGGGGCAGACACGGGGTAGACACGGGGCAGACACGGGGCAGACACGGGGTAGACACGGGGCAGACACGGGGCAGACACGGGGCAGACACGGGGTAGACATGGAACATGCACGGGGAAGATACAGGACACACACGGGACACACAGCGCACACGCACAGGACAGATACAGGACACACATGGGACGCAATGAACATGGGCCACACACGTGGCACACATGGAGGTGGGGGCGGGAGTCGAGCAGCACACGGGAACACACAGACACACAAAGATTAGCAAAACACAAAGACACAAAGATTAGAAAAACACCGAGACACACCACACGCTGTGACACGTGTATACGCTTTCTTAAGTGTCGGTGGGTACACATGCGGGAGCGGTGGCGAAGGGGTTAGCGTGCCGCGCTACGAACTCTGCGAGCGGGAGTTCGATTCCCGTTCAACGCCAACACCGGTGACAAATATTTCAAATGGGGCTTTGGCTCTCCGCTAGGTCGACGCAGTCGTAAACGATGACGCTGGCGCGGTGTGTAAACGTCGGCACTAGGGGAGACAAAGGCGACCGGGTGCGGTGCTGACCACCCACCCCCTCGTGCGCTGTGCAGGCCTTCATAGGTGCTACTCGCTAACAGCACAGCACCTGTTAAAGTCTGTACTGGGGATCTTTGATATGTGTGCGTGTGCGTGTGGGGAACGGTGGCGCAGCGGTGAGCACGCGCTGCGCTATGAACCCGGCGATCCGGGTTCAATTTCTCCTCAAGGTCCGACGCCAGTGACGATTATCTGAACCGGTGGTGGGCCACCACCGAGTACCCGGTGCGGTGTGTAAACATCACCACTGGGGAGACAAAGGCTGCCGGGCGTGGTGCTGGCCACCCACCCCCTCGTGTGCCACAGTGCCGGCCTTCACCGGTGCTACTCGCTAACAGCACTTGCCCCTACAGTCTGCTAAGGCTACACGGGGGCGTCTTTGTGTCGGTGTGGGGCCGCAGCAGCGTCGCAGCATGGGTTCGTACCGACGCCGGGGCTGTGCGGTTTCCCGATCACGTGCAGGATGCAGCTGTTGATGAGCGTCTGCAGACTCTGCGGGGCACAAACAGCGCGGCGCTCATCACCGCCGGGCGGGGGCGTGCCAAGGCGGCAGAGGTTCGTGGTTCGAATCCGGCGGGCCACCCCCGTTAGTACTGCGGTCATGGGTATGACTACCGCGTGCCATTTGCTTCGTAGTGGAAGTTAAAAATCCCCGTTACGCTTTTTGCCGATATCCACGATGATGAAAAAATAAAGACTATTCACACCCACCCACTCGCACACACACACTCAGTCACACACACTCAGTCACACACACACACCCACTCAATCAGACACACACATACTCAATCTCACACACACACCCACCCACCTACTCAATCACGCCCACACACACACAACTCGAAAAGAGGAGGCCCGTGTGTGTGCCAGCATGACGGTCAACTGCAGATCACTCAATCGGGATCATGTAGCAACAGCAGCAGTAAGATCACCCGATCCTCCTACTACTGCGACGATAGACTCGCACGATCGCGCCAACACCAAAGCTACCCAGGTATCATTACTATTATATTTAACACGTGGCAGGCTTTCGCGACCAATATTATCAATAATGAAGGTTGTTTTGTTGTTGTGGGTTCGATCACGTAAATATAAATGTGTCGTTAAACCCGCCACCACCCGACCACAGCCTAATTATTAAGGTTTGTTTTGTTTACGTGACAAATCTTACTAATTGGCCGTTTCAGGTAGTGGCGAGTTAAACGACACATTAATATTTACGTGATCTCATCCAAAAAGAAACCTGTATTATGGATGTCATTATTATTATAATAATTATAATAATCAGCGCAACTTCCACCCGCTGACCGCTCGGGAATCGGGGTCACGGAGTCAAAAGGTCAAGGACTCACCACAAAGTCCTCCTCGGGCAGAGCGGAGATGAAGGCCGGCTCGATGGCCGTGATGAACTCAAATCCCTGCGTCGCCCACCTGCAAAGATAAAGATCCCCCGTGTAGCCTTTGACAGAAGTTTGGGGCAAATGCGGTTAAGTGAGCAGCACCTATGAAGGCCGGCACGGCGCACGAGGGGGTGGGTGGCCAGCACCACGCCCGGCCGCCTTTGTCTCCCCTAGTGGCGATGTTTACACAGCGCACCAGGAACACATTTGAGGCTGAGCCGACCTAGGGGGGTGCACAGGACCAGTCCAGATAATCACCACGGATGTTGGCTGGCCATCAGTGGGAATCGAACTCGGGTTCCCTTGGTTCATAGCACGGTGTTGCACCACTACAACTCACAAAGACAAAGATCCCCCGTATAGGCTTTAGCAGACAGTTGGGGCAAGTGTTGTTAGCGAGCACCCATGCAGGCCTTGACGGCGCACGAGGGGGTGGTTGGCCAGCACCACGCTTGGCAGCCATTGTCGCCCTGAGTGCCGATGTTTACAGGTACCCATTCGAGGTAAAGTCGACCGAGGTTAGGGCCCAGGACCGATTCAGATAATCGTCCCCAGTGTTGGTGGCCGTGAGCGGGAATCCAACTCGGGTCGCCGGGTGCACAACCACTAAGCGCACAGGCTGAGTGTGTGGCTGTCCTCAAGTGAGAAATGTATGCTGTGACCCGGCACCAATAGCGAGAAACAAAAACCACAAAAACTATTTTCCCGTACTGATCAAACACGCAACACTGCCACCATCACCGCACCGTCAACAACCGCGGGCGCCACCACAAGGGAATCACAGAGTGGGATTAGTCGCACCACATGACCTCATTTCCACCAATCACAGCACGCCAACCCGACCACAAGACGCGGTTACGACCAATTGCGCAGAGTGGTCGAGATCACATGACCACAATCAGGGCTTAATTTCGCGGCCGGGTCTGTCCGCCAAATATTGAACATAGCCGGATCACCACGTTCAGCATCCCAATCGCTGGGGCTGCTGCTACCGGTTACCTGCCTAACATCAGATGACATCTCGGTGGCGAGATGCTACCTGCCTCGCCTGGTATACAGGAGGTCGCGGGTACGATCGCGACCCCAACACCTGCATATATTTTGAGTTTGCGTGTCTCTCTCTTTCCCTGTGGTCACGTGGATTTTCCTCCGGGTCCTCCAGTTTTTCCCTCCACATTCAGAATCAATGTGCATTCAGAGTGTTTGGCTGCTGTACATTTCCAGTTGATAAGCCACTTCGTTGAGCTGTCATTTGTGGCCAGGTGACTTCTGAAAAAGAGCTACGTGGCTCAGTGGGCCTTCGTTGGTAAAATCAAAATAGTTGAGTGGTTTAGTTTCACGTTAATACCAGCGGTACGGAAAATATTTCCGCGCCTGGCACACCACCACATCCAGCATATATAACCGAATTCAGTCATCCAGTGACCTGCGAAAATTTTCCGTGAAAAATTAAGCCCTGATAACAATACAAGACGGACAAGACGGAGGCACGGACGGAGGCACGGACGGACAGAGGGAAGGGTCAGGCTTGTGATTGGACAGCTAAGCCGCGGTCGGCACCACCTTACACAAGCGCGGCTCCTCACCTCGGTACGACCACCGGCCGCGCGGTCGGCAGCGGCAGCTCGTGCCACAAGCGCCGCTCCCCCCTCGATCCGGCGCGTCACATAAGAGCGTCAACAGAGGTCGTCGCAAAACGTCGCGCGGATTCAGCGACGGGCAAAGCCATCACGAGGCAACGTGCGACGCGGGGGACCGCGGGGGCCACCCGTCGCCGCGCGAAAACCGGTTCGCAGGAACGCGGTCGCTCGCTCGTAGTCACGACTCTCTCATCACACCGCACGCACACACCACGCACGGGCGGACGCACCAGGCAGGAAGACAGTCTGGCAAACTGGCACGGACGGTGACACGGACAGACGGGGAAAGGGATGCGCCAAAACTACAGAAGCACACGACGGACATCGATGCAGCGCGTCTTGTCTCTCGGGTCAGGCAGTTGGTTGAGAATATCGTCTCTCAAGCTTCCTGCGTGTAAATATGTGGTGCCGTGTCAGGTGGGCGGGCGAGCGAGTGAGCGAACGGGCAGACGAGCGAGTGAGCGAGCGGGCAGACGAGCGAGTGAGCGAGCGGGCAGACGAGCGAGTGAGTGAGCGAGTGGGCGAACGACTGTGCGGGCGAGCGAGTGAGCGAGCGGGCAGATGAGTGAGTGAGTGAGCGAGCGAGTGGGCGAACAACTGTGCGGGCGAGCGAGTGAGTGAGTGGGCAAGTAAATGGGCAAGCGAGTGGGCGAGCATGCGAGCGGGTGAGTGAGTGGGCAAGTAAATGGGCAGGCGAGTGGGCGAGCAGGCGAGCGGGTGAGTACCTGGGCCGGGTGCCTCGTCCGCTCTCACACTTGCTCAGCACGTACTCCATCCACTTGCGGGCGAAGCTGATGAAGTGGTCGCCCACGCGTTGCCGCGACTCGCCCGACATGAGCCGCACCACCTCCTTGTGGTACTGGGGGGTGGTATGGGGGGGGGGGGGGGCACGCGGGAGAGAGCCGGGTGAGAGAGTGGAGAGAGTGAGTGTTGGAGAGTGTATTAGTTTAGTGCCTACCCACATGCATGCACATGCACAAGAAGATACAAAGACAAAGAACCCCTCTATAGCCTTAAACAGACCGCTGGGGCAAGTGCCGTTAGCGAGTAGCACCTATGAAGGTCGGCACGGCAACACGTGCGGGTGTGGGTAGCCAGCACCACGCCCGGCCGCCTTTGTCACTGCAATCACACGCACGTGGGGGCACGTGGGGGCACGTGGGGGCACGTGGGGGCACGTGGGGGCACGTGAGCACGTGAACACGTGGGGGCACGTGGGGGCACGTGAACACGTGAACACGTGGGGGCACGTGGGGGCACGTGAACACGTGGGGGCACGTGGGGGCACGTGGGGGCACGTGGGGGCACGTGGGGGCACGTGGGCACGTGCGCGTCCTGTCGTGTGCTCAACTCGGCCGAGCGGAAGCGCTCGGTGGTTCCAATCAGGCAGGCCGCCCCGGCCGTCACCGCGCGTGTGTCGACAACACAACGCACACGCACGTGTGCGTTGTGTTGTGTTCGCACACGCACGTGTGCGAACACAACACAACGCGTATCCACGCCCCGCTCCGTCCCGCTGCCGCCGCGCACCTCAAATCCGAAGTTGAACGCCTGTATCATGGTCTCCTTGTAGTACTGCTGCATGCTGTAGCGCTCCACCTCCTCCATGTCGCCCTCGGCCTCCTGCACGAAGCGTGCGTTCACCTCCTCGATGGAGCCGCTGATCGTGTCGCACAAGCCCAGGGCCTCCACCTGCGCGGCAACGGGCACGAGGGCGGCGCAGCGACGGTGAGGGGCGGCGCAACAACATCAGAGACTCCGCGACCGTCGTCGCTGTTTGTACTTCTCATCTCAACATCCGATCTTCGATCGCCGGCCCTTTTACACGTGTAAAGCGTCAGCAATTTTATTCTGGTTTCGATCGTGCAGCGCTTTGCGAGGTTCGCTTCTGTGAGGGGAGCAGCACAAAATAAACACGACTATTCCTATCATCATCCTTCATTATTACTCTGACGACTTGCCGCTTTGTACAGGCCCCGTGATTGGTAAGCAGTGGGGTCACCGTGCACGGCTCCCCACGGGTAAAAGCGCAGCCCCCGCAACCGCTCGCTCACGCCACCGCCGGCGCAAGGGGCCTCCCCCCGCCAGAGGTATTTGTTTGGTCTACTCTTCCACGCCGGGACGGACGTGTCGCGCGACCTGCCTTGAGCGCCTCCAGGGCGTGCGCGATGGCGGGCCGCGTGGACGTCTGCTCGCTGTGCAGCCGCACGGCGTAGCAGGCGACGCGCTGGAACGCCTTGCGCTGCTCCTGCAGCACGCCCGAGTGCAGCGCCACCAGCAGCAGGCTGCACACCTGGAGGGGGTCCCCGCACCGCACGCGGTCAGGGGTCGCGAGGTCAGGGGTCGCGAGGTCGGGTCGCGAGGTCGGGTCGAGAGGTCGGTTTCCTTGCTGTGGTTGTCCCACCTGATGACGATTGCTTGTGTTGCAATCGAAACGTCGTGATCGATTATTTTTGTTTCTACCTACGTGACTTTACCGAAAGAACCAAAGAGCATGGATTCCTGCAGTCACTAAAGCTGCAAATCTTGCATTGCCTTTGTACTGTTCGCATTTTGGCGTTCTCTGGCCTAACTCGGGTGGTGACACAAGGCCATGAAGCAGGTGGTCTCTGGTGTAGGCCCATCAGTTGCAAAGACAATGCAAACGATGTTAACAGACGCATGTTCGCTTGCATGTTTTGCCACAAGCATGCAGACTTGATTCCTCGCAATAGGTGCGTCTACTTGGCTCTTGAGCATCGTAACACAGCTCGTGTTTTATTGCCAGAAAAGGGTAGAAGCCTATTCTGTCTTTTTCATCATTTTGATCCTGGCAAAAAGGTCCCAGACACATGCCGGGCTGTTGGAAGAGGTGAGGGGAGTCACCCACACTTTACCCCGCCAATCACACGAAAAACCTATTCTATGGTTCACGTAGATAGAAAAAATAAAAAAATGAAAAATATCACGGCGTTTTGATCGCAACACAAGCAATCGTCATCAGGTGAAAAAATATAGTGGGAGAGCTACTGTGGCAGGAACAACATATTATTTCTCTCCAGCTAGATTTGCTTGTGTTGCGATCGAAACGTCGTGATATTTTTCTATCTACGTGGCTTTACCGAAAGACCCAAAGAATATGAATTCCTGCAGTCACGGAAGCTTCAAGTCAAAATTTACACGAAAAACCTGCCGATCACAGACTGTGGTGAACCCATCCGTGAGCCCATTTGTATTATCCCGCTGTTGGGTGGACAGAGGTCGGAGGTCAGAGGTCAGAGATCGGAGGTCAGAGGTCAGAGATCGGAGGTCATAGTCGTGGAGGTGGTCGTGGAGGTGGTTGACAGCGGTGGTGATAAGGCAGCAACCAACGAGAGGCTATCGAGGGCACGAACCAACGGAGAGCGACGACGACGACGATGATGGCGACGACGACAGAGCTGTCGCTGTCACTGCCGCTGCCGCGGCGAGCCTCTCACCTGCACGTCCTGCAGCGTGTTGATGGTCTCCGTGGTGAGGCTGACCCTCATCGTCCGGCCGCACCACTCCGCTCGGCCGCTTCCCCCGCCCCCCCCGGCCCCCCCGGCCTCGCCGCCCCGGGGTCGCACGCCGCTCGGCTCCTCACCCACGACGCCGCTCGGCTCCTCGGCCAAGGCGCTCACCTCCTCACCCACGGCGCTCCCCTCCTCACCCACGGCGCTCCCCTCCTCACCCACGGCGCTCCCCTCGTCACCCACGGCGCTCCCCTCCTCACCCACGGCGCTCCCCTCGTCACCCACGGCGCTCCCCTCCTCACCCACGGCGCTCCCCTCGTCACCCACGGCGCTCCCCTCCTCACCCACGGCGCTCCCCTCGTCACCCACGGCGCTCCCCTCCTCACCCACGGCGCTCCCCTCCTCACCCACGGCGCTCCCCTCTTCCCTCCTCCTCGTCCTCGCTTCTTCGCCGAGTCTCATCCCCTTTTCCGTCCGGTCGCCCTCTTCTCTCCACCGTCTCCTCTCCTCCTCGAGGCTTTGTGCCTCTTCACCCCGGTCTCGTCGTTCCTCCTCGCGACCGTCACCACCGCCGCCGTCACCAACGCCACCGTCACCAACGCCACCGTCACCAACGCCACCGTCACCAACGCCACCGTCACCAACGCCACCGTCACCACCGCCACCGCCACCACCGTCACCGCCGCCACCGTCACCGTCACCGCCACCAACGCCACCATCACCGCCGCCCTCGTCGCCCTCGTCGTACGCGGCCAGAAAGTCCTCTCCGCTTGCGCCGGGCTCCTCCACAGCGCCGCTGCCATTTCCACGTCCGGCCTGCTGCTGCTGCTGCTGTTGCCCGTGGTGCTGCTCCTGCTGCAGCTCCTGCTGCTGCTCCTGCTGCTGCTCCTGCTGCTGCTCCTGCTGCTGCTGCTCGTGGTGCCCGTGGTGCCGGTGGTGCCGGCAGCTGGCGGCAGCGGCGTCGCCGCCCGCCCCGCCCCGCGGCCGCAGCAGGAGCAGGTAGCCGCCGGCGGCGGCGGGGCCCTCCAGGCCCGAGCAGTCGCGCCCGCAGGCGGCGCTGAGCAGCTGCAGCACCAGCGGCCGGTGCTCGCCGAGCGGCGCCGGCACGAACACCTGCACGGGCTCCAGGTCCTCCAGCAGCACCTGCGGGAGCGCGAGAGGGGGGGGGGGGAGCGCACGGCCACACTGCGCTGAGGATCCCCGATAAATCGTCTCCGTGGTGAGGCTGACCCTCATCGTCGCTACGGGGGGGCGGGGGGGCAGGTAGAGGTGTAACAGGAAGCTCGGGGGAAGCAGAAAGCGCCGAGCTGGCACCGCTGGGCTCCTGCTGGGTGTGGGGTGGCTGGTGCGTTGTGGGGGTGGCGTGCGCCGAGTGGTGCATTGTGTCGGCGTGGCGTGGTGAACTTGAGCGTGGGTGGCTGGTTTGTTTACATGATGTGTATGTAGGACAGGTAGGTGAGCGCGTGTGGGAGCGCGTGTGTGAATGCGTGCGGGTGAAAGTGTGGAGGTGAGCGTGCGTGTGTGGGGTAGAGGGTGTGTGTGGGTGAGGGTGTGTGGGTGAGGGTGTGTGAGAGTGTGAGGGTGTGTGGGTGAGTGTGTGTGGGTGAGGGTGTGTGGGTGAGGGTGTGTGAGAGTGTGTGGGTGAGGGTGTGTGAGAGTGTGAGGGTGTGTGGGTGAGTGTGTGTGGGTGAGGGTGTGTGTGTGTGTGTGGGTGAGGGTGTGTGGGTGAGGGTGTGTGGGTGAGGGTGTGTGGGTGAGTGTGTGTGGGTGAGGGTGTGTGAGTGTGTGTGGGTGAGGGTGTGTGAGTGTGTGTGAGTGAGGGTGTGTGAGGGTGTGTGGGTGAGGGTGTGTGTGGGTGTGGGTGAGGGTGTGTGTGGGTGTGTGTGTGAGGGTGTGTGTGTGAGGGTGTGTGGGTGAGGGTGTGTGGGTGAGGGTGTGTGTGGGTGAGGGTGTGTGTGGGTGTGTGTGTGAGGAAGTGTGGGTAAAGGTGTGTGGGTGAGGGTGTGTGGGTGAGGGTGTGTGGGTGAGGGTGTGTGAGCTTGTGTGTGGGTGAGTGTGTGTGGGTGAGCTTGTGTGTGGGTGAGGGTGTGTGAGGGCGTGTGGGTCAGCGCGCCACGTGTGTGGTGAGGGCCGGCTGTGCCGCGCACCTTGACGTGGCCGCTCGTGGCCAGGAGATGGAGCAGCTCATCCACCGACGACGATAAAACAAACTCGGCAGCCAGGCCCAGATCCTGACGCACACACACACAGACACACACAGACACACACACACACAGACACACACACACAGACAGAATCAGAATCTGTATCTATCCTGTAGGAATCTTACGAACTATGAAGCTCTTTTTAACAAATGACCAGAACACAAAGACAAAGATCGCCCGTGTAGCCTTAATAGACTTTTGGGGCAAGCGCCGTTAGCGAGCACCTATGAAGGCCGGCACGGCGCACGAGGAAGTGGGTGGCCAGCACCACGCCCGGCCGTCTTTGTCTCCCCAGTGGCGATGTTTACACATCGCACCAAGTACTCATTTGAGGCTGAGTCGAACTAGGGGAGGCCCAGGGCCGGTTCAGATATTCGTCACCGGTGTTGGCTGTGAGCGTGAATCGAACCCCGGGAGGCCTGGATCTTTGCGAAGCGTAGCGCTCACCGCTGCACTCACTCTGCACGTGCACACCCACGCACGTCGTCACCAGACACACACACGTCATCACCAGACACACACACGTCATCACCAGACACACACACGTCATCACCAGACACACACACGTCATCACCAGACACACACACGTCATCACCAGACACACACACGTCGTCACCAGACACACGCACGTCGTCACCAGACACACACACGTCATCACCAGACACACACACGTCATCACCAGACACACGCACGTCATCACCAGACACACACACGTCATCACCAGACACACACACGTCGTCACCAGACACACACACGTCATCACCAGACACACACACGTCATCACCAGACACACACACGTCGTCACCAGACACACACACGTCATCACCAGACACACACACGTCATCACCAGACACACACACGTCATCACCAGACACACGCACGTCGTCACCAGACACACACACGTCATCACCAGACACACACACGTCATCACCAGACACACACACGTCGTCACCAGACACACACACGTCATCACCAGACACACACACGTCATCACCAGACACACACACGTCATCACCAGACACACACACGTCATCACCAGACACACACACGTCGTCACCAGACACACACACGTCATCACCAGACACACGCACGTCGTCACCAGACACACACACGTCATCACCAGACACACACACGTCATCACCAGACACACACACGTCGTCACCAGACACACACACGTCATCACCAGACACACACACGTCGTCACCAGACACACACACGTCATCACCAGACACACACACGTCATCACCAGACACACACACGTCATCACCAGACACACGCACGTCATCACCAGACACACGCACGTCATCACCAGACACACACACGTCATCACCAGACACACACACGTCATCACCAGACACACACACGTCATCACCAGACACACACACGTCATCACCAGACACACACACGTCATCACCAGACACACACACGTCATCACCAGACACACGCACGTCATCACCAGACACACACACGTCATCACCAGACACACACACGTCATCACCAGACACACGCACGTCATCACCAGACACACGCACGTCATCACCAGACACACGCACGTCATCACCAGACACACACACGTCATCACCAGACACACGCACGTCGTCACCAGACACACACACGTCATCACCAGACACACGCACGTCGTCACCAGACACACACACGTCGTCACCAGACACACACACGTCGTCACCAGACACACACACGTCGTCACCAGACACACACACGTCGTCACCAGACACACACACGTCATCACCAGACACACACACGTCGTCACCAGACACACACACGTCATCACCAGACACACACACGTCGTCACCAGACACACGCACGTCGTCACCAGACACACACACGTCGTCACCAGACACACGCACGTCGTCACCAGACACACACACGTCGTCACCAGACACACACGCGTCATCACCAGACACACACACGTCATCACCAGACACACACACGTCGTCACCAGACACACACGCGTCATCACCAGACACACACACGTCATCACCAGACACACACACGTCATCACCAGACACACACACGTCATCACCAGACACACACACGTCATCACCAGACATACACGCGTCGTCACCAGACACACACACGTCATCACCAGACACACGCACGTCATCACCAGACACACACACGTCATCACCAGACACACGCACGTCATCACCAGACACACGCACGTCATCACCAGACACACACACGTCGTCACCAGACACACACGCGTCATCACCAGACACACGCACGTCATCACCAGACACACACGCGTCATCACCAGACACACACACGTCGTCACCAGACACACACACGTCATCACCAGACACACACGCGTCATCACCAGACACACACGCGTCATCACCAGACACACACACGTCATCACCAGACACACACACGTCATCACCAGACACACACGCGTCATCACCAGACACACACACGTCGTCACCAGACACACACACGTCGTCACCAGACACACACACGTCATCACCAGACACACACACGTCATCACCAGACACACACACGTCATCACCAGACACACACGCGTCATCACCAGACACACACGCGTCGTCACCAGACACACACACGTCATCACCAGACACACGCACGTCATCACCAGACACACGCACGTCATCACCAGACACACACACGTCGTCACCAGACACACACGCGTCATCACCAGACACACGCACGTCATCACCAGACACACACGCGTCATCACCAGACACACACACGTCATCACCAGACACACGCACGTCATCACCAGACACACGCACGTCATCACCAGACACACACACGTCGTCACCAGACACACACACGTCATCACCAGACACACGCACGTCATCACCAGACACACGCACGTCATCACCAGACACACACGCGTCGTCACCAGACACACACACGTCATCACCAGACACACACACGTCATCACCAGACACACACACGTCATCAACAGACACACGCACGTCATCACCAGACACACACACGTCATCACCAGACACACGCACGTCATCACCAGACACACACACGTCATCACCAGACACACACACGTCATCACCAGACACACACGCGTCGTCACCAGACACACACACGTCGTCACCAGACACACACACGTCGTCACCAGACACACGCACGTCATCACCAGACACACACACGTCATCACCAGACACACGCACGTCATCACCAGACACACACACGTCGTCACCAGACACACACACGTCGTCACCAGACACACACACGTCGTCACCAGACACACGCACGTCATCACCAGACACACACACGTCATCACCAGACACACACACGTCATCACCAGACACACACACGTCATCACCAGACACACGCACGTCATCACCAGACACACACACGTCGTCACCAGACACACACACGTCATCACCAGACACACGCACGTCGTCACCAGACACACGCACGTCATCACCAGACACACACACGTCATCACCAGACACACGCACGTCATCACCAGACACACACACGTCATCACCAGACACACACACGTCGTCACCAGACACACACACGTCATCACCAGACACACGCACGTCATCACCAGACACACACACGTCGTCACCAGACACACACACATCGTCACCAGACACACGCACGTCATCACCAGACACACACACGTCATCACCAGACACACACACGTCATCACCAGACACACACACGTCATCACCAGACACACACACGTCGTCACCAGACACACACACGTCATCACCAGACACACACACGTCATCACCAGACACACACACATCGTCACCAGACACACACGCGTCATCACCAGAACACACACGTCATCACCAGACAACACACACGTCGTCACAAGACACACACTAAACGTCATCACCAGAATCACATCACAGCACACGTCATTCACCAGACACACGCACGTCGTCACCAGCACACACACGTCATCACCAGACACCCACACGTCATCACCAGACACACACCACGTCGTCACCAGACACACCACACGTCCTCACCAGACACACACACGTCATACCAGACACACACACGTAAAGACACACACACGTCTCACCAGAACACACACACGTCAACCAGACACACACGTCATCACCAGACACACACACGTCATCACCAAGACACACACACGTCATCACCAGACACACACACGTCATCACCAGACACACAGCACGTCATCACCAGACACACACACGTCATCACCAGACACACACACGTCGTCACCAGACACACACGTCATCACCAGACACACACACACGTCATCACCAGACACAGCAACCACGTCATCACCAGACACACACGTCATCACCAGACACACACACGTCGTCACCAGACACACGCACGTCACGTCATCACCAGACACACACACGTCATCACCAGACACACACACGTCATCACCAGACACACACACGTCATCACAGCACACACACACCACGTCGTCACCAGACACACACACGTCATCACCAGACACACACACACGTCGTCCAACACACACAGCGCACGTCATCACCAGACACACACACGTCGTCACCAGACACACACACGTCCACACCAGACACACACACGTCATCACCAGACACACGCACGTCTCACCAGACACACACACGTCATCACCAGACACACACACGACGTCGTCACCAGACACACACACGTCATCACCAGACACACGCACGTCATCACCAGACACACACACGTCGTTCATCCAGACACACACACGTCACACCAGACACACGCACGTCATCACCAGACACCAACACGTCATCACCAGACACACACACGTCGTCACCAGACACACCACACGTCATCACCAGACACCACACACGTCATCACCAGACACACACACAGTCATCACCAGAACACACACGTCATCACCAGACACACACACGTCGTCACCAGACACACACACGTCATCACCAGACACACACACGTCATCACCAGCACACCACACGTCGTCACCAGCACACACACGTCATTCACAGACACACACACGTCATCACCAGACACCACACACGTCGTCACCAGACAACACACACGTCATC